AGTTCARAGCCAGCCTCAGCAAAAAGCAAGGCACTAAATAACTCAGTGAGACTTTGTCTCTAAATAAAATACAAAATTGAGCTGAGGATGTGGCTCAGTGGTTGAGTGTCCCTGAGTTCAGTCCCCAGTACCAAAAAAAAAAAACCAGTTTGAATTCTTTCTAGATGTAGGATTCTGTATGCATATACCCTTGTTTTGTTTCTTTGTGTGAGTATGTGTGTGTGTGTGTGTGTAAATAAGATGTAGTTAAAAAAAATCAAATCATTTTTTTTATGGAGTGACAACATAATTATAGGGATTTGTTATCACCATACATTTAACTGTATCATACAATGAATTTTTAAAAGATTATTTGAAAAATTATTTCATTTTAAAATTTTTTGTTGTCAGGGAATTTTTATTTAACAAAATTTTGTTGTGATTTGAAGCCCAAAGGATATAATTTCTTGACCAAATTTATTTAGTGTTTCTTAAAATAGGTTTTATGGTTGGAGGTAAATTTGTCAGAGAGAGGGAGTAATTTTTGAGAAGTGGTCACTGTTAGGAAGAATAAGGGAGGTAGAAGACTTAAAACTTTGTTGCTATGGAGATCTGGTAGGAACCAAATTTGCCTGTTACTAAGTTTTTACAATTAATTTTTAAACAAAAATTGAAACTATTTGGTCATGAATGTCAGAGTTCTATCTATTAATAATGCAAATAATTTTTAAATGTAATTCTGTTTTATTGATTTCATATGTTAAAAGATAAAGGAGTTCTTTGGATCAGGAAAATAAGTAATTAGAATCACATTATATTAGTTCTTTTTGTTTCTCGGTTTATATTATTTTCATTGCAGTGTATATTATAGATTTCTTGAGATTTATGGAAGATGTATAATTATTATGATAGTTTTAGACTGAGAACACAATAACAACTTGTTGGTTTCATCATTCTAGTGATTATGTGACATTTACTCTTCTGTTTACCTTTAGCTTCTCTTAAAAAAACACAAGTTCTGCATCTTCTTTTATCTGAAATTTGTGAAGATAAACTGCTTAGTTTAGCTCCTTGGCCGAAAAGCTATATAAATTTAGGGTGTTATTTAATAAATTTCCCAGTCTGATGCCCCTCTGTCTGAGAAACAATGTCTTGCACTGAGAGGAAGATTAGATTATTAGCAGCTGCTGCTACAATTATTGAGCACTTACAGTGTGTGCTGTATTTTATCTCATTTAATCTCACTCAACTCTATGAGATCTTATAGGAAGGAAACTGAGCTTCAGCTGTTTCATAGGTTAAGTGTCAGAACCAGGATTCAAACCCCAACTCCAACTCTAACTCTGGGCTTTCTCTGTTTATGCTGCATTAGCTATTGTAATGTCTCTTGTCCTAAGGTTTTGTATTTTTGTCAGAAATTTACCTTTTATCATTAAATTTCAACATTTAAAAATAAATATAATTTTTCTGATGTCTGTTAACAGTAATCATTGCTCTGTCAGAGTACATTTCTTGTGCATTTTTGTTGCTTTCATCAATAGCATTCCTATTCTGTTCACATTGTTTGATTCCTCCATTTTTAACACTGATTTATTTCATGAAATAAACTTTCAGCATCTAAAAATATATACTATTAGGAATAGATTTTATGATTTTGCATTTTTGACACATTATAAGGCACTAATTTTAACATCTGTACAGCTAATCATCACTTATTTTATGTGGAAGTGTTGAAGGTTATAAACTCTTTAAATTACTTTCATATTCCTGGAATGTACTGTTTATAAACCTTCATGTAGTAGAATAAAGAAAATGATATTTAATATTATGCACTACAGTAAATGGGTCACCCTACTACTCTTGATCTCAAGTAACTGAACCACAACTACTCTACCTTCATGTTGCGCCTTACTCCTTACCTCTGTCCTACCATGCCGAGAGGGCTGATCTCTTGGCACACTTTTAACACATTTGTGCATCTGTAATCTTCATGAGAAAGTAGACTAAATGTTCTTTAAAGTTTAAGTATTCAGTAGGCATAAACTTTTGAAAGCAGTAATGTTTTAAGTTGTTCATTTGAAAATGTTCACTTTATGTATTATAAGTCATGCATTTTCTTTTTTTTCTTTTTTTTTGCATCTTCCAAGCTATCACTCCAACAGACATTTATTCAACTAAAACAAAACATCTTTAAAAATATTTTAACAATGTACAAATACATTCACAACATAATCTGCTGATTAAAAGATTCCAACAAAGTTTCCAGTACCGACAACAGAATTTACAAATCCCTACAATAATTTGTAGATTGGTTTAGTTTACAGTTAACTATATTTCCTTGTTTAAGAAATATTATTAATACAAATGTATGATTTACAATATCCCCCTTATAGCAAGAAAAAATAGATTCATAAAATAAAATGTCGCTAGGCATTTATTACGCCAAATATTTAAATGATTATTCTTACTATGACRTAAGAATAATATTAATTTAGTACTAAAAGATTTTATTAGTCCAAAGACCACCAAAGAATTTCCAGGAAGTTCCAAAATAAAAATCTGACTATCCTTTCCATGAAATAAATAGAATAGCAGCAATCCCTGGGTGTCCCTTAAACATAAACTATAAAGACTCCATTTATTATTTAGGCCTTAAGTATAAAAATAAAAGAAAATCTTAGAAACTAGTTAACACTACCAGCCTGAATTTGGTTTTCACTTGTGCATGTCTAAGGTAAGCAATTTCAACATGAAGTATATATATATATATATATTTTTTATTGGTTGTTCAAAACCTTACAAGGCTCTTGACATATCATATTTCAGACATTAGTTTCAAGTGAGTTATGAACTCCCATTTTTACCCCAAATACAGATTGCAGAATCACATCAGTTACACATTCACCTTTTTACATAATGCCCTATTAGTAACTGTTGTATTCTGCTACCTTTCCTAGAGTCATGCATTTTCATCGTTGTATTTGGAACCTAATAGTTGATAATGATAACAAAGGCAAAATTTTTAAGCATTTTATATATATCTTTTTCCTGTGTCACCAACTAAAGCTTTGCTATGTATTATGTGTCTCCTTTGAGTCTTGTTCTTGCATTTGGAAGTGAGTCTTTAACATGCTTAATACTTCTAGTTAATATTATGATAATAATTATAACACCTAAGAATAATTTGATCTCACATTTTGATCTATTTGGTTATTAAAAATATATAGTTTGCATGATAGTGTAATTGTCTAGGTTGTACAGCCTCTGGATTTGAAAAGAAATATTTATAAGGTTTGATACTTTAATAGAAAATTGATTCCTGTATTATAAATAGTGCTGTTTTTGGAATGGTATGTAATTCAGCCCTGCCCCTGGAAAGTCTGATGTGCATTACCAGTTTACAACTACTATTGCATAAAAAGTTTTGTGAGCTAATCTAGAATAATTAAAACAGCTTAAGTATTTTGATATGAAAATAACATGAACTGTGTATTATAAACTTCATTGTTTAAATGTGTTTTCTTTGGGTTTTCTTAACTGTGGTCAATGTCATCATAATTTTCCTTCCCTGGAAACCACAGCACAGCAGTCCCTGTAGATAGTTCTCTCTTTTTTTTTGAGTCTCCTCTCACCACCTTTTTAGGATGTAAAAAGTACCATTAATTCTGCTGTCTTAATATTTTGTTTGTAGTCCTACTCTGCTGTTCTAGTTTGATATCTCACTGTTTCCATTTCTGTTTCTGTTCTAGGATTTATCTTCCCAAAGTTCACTTTGATCATGTAATTTCCTTGCTTAATATTATTTTTCTCTTTATTGTCATCCTTAGTAACCATCTTTGTATAACATTTATGAAGACTGTTTGCACTCTGATCCCAATTTTCTTGTATTTTTCCCATTCTTATATTCCCCATTTGGATGAGCCTTGTCTCCTTTTCTAATTATCCTGTTATCCAGCCACCACTATTTCTTATTGTTTTCTCACTGACCTTATTCTCACTGCATATCCTTGGCCTGGTAGGCCCCTCATCTGTACCCTCATCAAATGTTATCCCCTATAGAATTTTACTGATATATCACTCTTGTGCAGAATTACCTTCTCCAGTGATTCTTTATACTTCTTGATAGCATTGCCACACATGCCTTAGAATATAATTGTGTAACTCATTCTTTTTCCCCACTGGATTATAAACCTTTTGATTGCATAGCCCATACCTTATTTAATGAAAGTGTTTTGATGGTTGTCTAATATGAAACAGGAAATACATAAACACACTTACATATGTACATTTTTATTTACTCAGCTTAAGTATCTATATATAGTATTACTACATTGCTGTGTCTGTGAAGAAATGTAAAGATGAATGTTTCATATGCTATACCTTCATTTATATTCTACTAGGAAAAAAAGATATTGGTGCAATAAATACATTGTATAAGTACCATGAAAGTCATATCATTTACCAATAAATTATATAAATCATATACCATGTCTTTGTTTTTGTATGCTTTTTACTTGTTTTTTTGCTCTTGTATCTTCTCTCCACTTTTATGACTTCATGTGTAGTTGTTCAGTTTTTCTCCCAATTTGATACACATAATTTAATTGTATGTAAAAACCAGGGAGTATTCTTAAAACGTAGAAAACTTTTCTATTTAGAATTCATTTAATATTATCTAGGAATCAAGTCATCTCACTTATAAATTTATAAAACTGATTTTTTTTTTGAGATGTTATCCTTGTGTTTTTGTTAGATATGTTAGCTTTTTTTTAGGGAAGCAGTAATGCTCTTTTAGGTTAGTATAATTTTTAGAAAATTTGTATTAAAAATTATTTCCATTTGCTGTTTGATTTATCTAGTTATTATCTCTTAAGAAACATGATTACATATTTATGTTTTGTTGAAGAATGAGAAATGTGTGTTAGACTGATTTTTATGGTGTGATATACAAGGTTTGTAAAATATAAATGCAATGCTTTGTGCTCTTTCTTTATGCTCTAATGTAATTAATTTGTTTCTAGATGCTGGCATCACCATCTACATCAGGTCAGCTGTCTCAGTTTGGGGCAAGTTTATACGGGCAACAAAGTAAGAATTTTGTATTTATTCTGGGATACTTTATTTAAAGAGAAAAATAAATAACTACTACATAAAAAACAATGGATGCTGCCCTTTGGGGTTTATTGTAGGGCTTAGCAGGAAAAATTCTTAATTTTCAGAATTTTCTTTATTTTACTATATAGTAAAACCTCATTATTTCAGGCCTCATTCTAAATTGGTTATTACTTATGTATATCATAGATTGAAATTTATTTTGATATCTTTTGTATCTAGATGTTCCTTTGTAAAGTATTGTTGGAATTTTGGGTAAACAAAAGTAGATATTCTATTTTTCAATTAGAGGAAGTTAAAAGATTTTTCTTTTCTTTTCTTTTTTTTTTTTTTTTGGTTTGGTTGGTTTGATAAGATTGTTTCATTTGTGTTTTTTGGCCTGTCATTGTAAACCTATTTCTTAGCAGCAGTGTATGATTTTTTTTGTTTGTTTGTTTTGGTTTAGCAGTATTTCTTCTTTTGCTTTAGATCCCTCTGGTTATAGAATCTAGATTTTTTGACTCACATTTTTTTCATTATATAAGATTCTTCTTTTTAGAAGTATTTAATACTTTAAAAGCGCTTAGCATAGTGCCTGGCGCATAGTAAGTGCTCAATAAATTCTAGCTATTACTATCACAAAATTTTTATAAAACTCCAAATTATAAAATATCTTCATATTTTTGCAAATCAATTTTTTAGAATGTTACATAGTAATAAGATTTTATCATCTCTAGTATCAAAGATCTGTTGATTTCTCATTTCTGTTAATAGCATCTCTGTTAATGAAAGGGGGAGGGAGTTAAAAGTGTTATAAATTCTCATCAAAGATCATAGAATAATTGAGTAACTGGAGTAGACATCTAGTGACTACTTTAACCCGCTTCAGATAAAAATTAATTGTTTAATTTGGAGCTCTTCTGGTATAATGGGAAGCAACATTTTGATTGGTATCAGAATAGCTCATTATATCACTTTGCCCTTCACATTGATTTTAGTTTAGTAGAAGGATAAAACTTATTTTGTATACAAGGTTATTTCCATCTATTTTTCTATCTTTTGTGTCTTTCCTCTTTTGCTCTGAAATACAATTTTGCTAGTACAGGAGTAATAAATAAAATTTATTCTTTATATGTATTTTAGCAGTTTTCCTATAATTAAACAAAAACATTTACAAAACTTTTTATTACCTAAAAAACATGTGGCTTATTTATCCACAAATGTTTAGCCTAGGTGTTGAGGAAATATTATTAGCAAGTAATGTGTTGTCTTTAGCGTGTGCTTTTACCCTTCTTGTAAGGCTTACACTAGAAATATGTAGCTATTTTTAAACTATCTTTTATTTAGAGCAACTGCAAAGACCTAATTTTTCTTTTGAAAGTCCAGGGTAGATATAGAATGGAGAAACATTTATAAGTGAGAAGCTGAGGTGATTATAATGGCAGTGATTAACTGTCTGGATTTTTAAAAATCTTAAGTTTTTTTTAATGTATAAATGTGTAATTATAATTGGGCTAAGGTACAGGATAAATTTGGTTTGAAATACAGTAATATCATTGGTATGATGGACATTGACATTCAAATTTAAGTTATCATTGTGTTTCTTGCTAATAATATACAGAGAATAATTAGTGGACAAATTTACTTTTCTTAGAAAATGTGTTTTAAAAGAAACCATATATGATAGGTATTCTCTGTTGGACTGTAATTATATTGAATGGCTATATTCTTATAATATCTATGAAGCAATTTGAATACGTAGTTTACTTTTTTAAACTGACATTTCAGGTATTAACCTACTGAAAAATTGAACCTTAGATTAATAGGAACTGAACTGTTTTGATTCAGGATACAGTTATTTTCCAGGCTACACCTTTAGAAGCTGTAACTAGTGAAAAAATGATAGCATGGGTTGCCAGTTTCTTTTAGGTTCAGAGACTCTAGAGAGCCAAATGGATCATATAACTGGCAGGTAATATGAACACCCACATCGTCAGACAGGAGAACACAAGCTACCATGTTGGACTTGGAGGTCAGAGTTTTAATAGTTTTAACTAAGTCAGAATGGTAAAATTTGAAGGATGGAGAGATTGGAATGTAAGTGGGATAGATTAGAAATGTAACTCTCAGGGCAACTTATTGTATTTGCACATTGAGATTGGTGTAACTCAAAGCTCTTTTTCTCAACTGCCATTGAATTCCATCATTAGCTCTATTCATATTGGCAAAGTTCAATAGGGATTTGTGCCATTCAAATATGAGGTTGGCTAGTAATCTGTTGTTCTTGATATTAGAATAATTAAGAGATGGGAGAAGTGGAAAAGAAAGAACACCTTCTCTAGAACTAAGACTTATAATAAATTTAAAATAAGAAAGTGAGTTCCTTTTGGAATGGGTATACAACTATTGAAGCCTACATTTTGCCAGATTTGAGTAGAAGGATTGTGTAACACATTAGGTACACTGAAAATACTGGTTTGTATAATCTTAGATCCTAGTGGGTATGATTGTATCCAAATGTGTAAGTGACTTAGCATTCAAGGGTTTGTGTACCAGGTGATAACTGTAGAAACCAGTAACATAGTGTTAAGTTGCATAATGTTCTCTACTTGTATTCTTTGAGTTTATACATAAGATTTGAGCTCTGCCTTATAGACCCCTGTGCTCTCCAAACTGTCTACTAGATTAGAATGAATAGGGACAAGGAATTCATTTCTCCTGAATGTTAATTAAGTACATTGAAATTGTAGTGGTTTAGTTGATGTTTTCTTATTTATGAATAGGATTTAGAACAGTGTAGAATAGAGAAAAAGGAAACTACCATTTATTGAACGCTTCCTTATGTGTGTATTGTCTTATAGTCACCCAAGTTAACTAGCTATCTAGATGAATTCATTATCTGCATTTGTATCTGAATCCTGAAAAGGACCCAGACCTTTAATAATTGTGAGAAGAAATACATCTTTCCTTCTCGAATCTGGACTCTTGGGTTGGGAGTGGTGGCATAATTTCATGCTTCCAACAGACATCCTTTTGACCTTTCTTTTTTTTAAGAACTCCTTTGTGAAGGCTCCTTGCTTTATGGAGAACCAGAGCACAAGTGGAGTGGCTCAAAAGTGATGCTGCTAACAATGTAAAATAAATAAATGACAATTTTTGGTTGCTTTAGGACTTTGTAGGACACTTTAACAAACATTTAATACTTAGTAATTTGTATTCAATGCTCTGGGAAGCCTTGCTTTCAAGTACATGTTATAGTAAGGAGGTATGACATGTATATATAAAATATTTAATAACAGCCTATGAGGCTAGGTTGTAATGCAAGGTATGGACAATATTTTAGAGTTTGGGGTGAAAAGCACAGTAAGCTACAGTGTTAGAGGAAAACTCCAAAACAGGCAGGAATTGAGTTTGACAGATACTTACTGAGTCCTATTATACATATTATACTGTAGATGGGTATAGAAGAGACCACTATTTCACACCATCACTGTACAATGTACATACAACTGTGGTGTTACTGCATTTACTTTTGCATGTCTGTGTTGCCTTCCTGTCCTTTGTACTTTGTACATGACAGGCACTCAGTAAATATTTGTTGAATGCATGATGAGCGATACATGGTTTCCACATATAATCTTAAAAGTATAGGTACATAGATGGTTTCACTACAGAATGGAATAAGAAGTTAGGAGTTTTCTGGATATTTCAAAAGCAGGAGTCTTTGACAATGATCAAGAAAGGATTTACACACGAGGTCATGTTTGAAATTGACGTTGAGGAGACTCTAATTGTTTTAGCAGTGGGAACAATATCCGTAGCAGGGGATAGATTTTGGAATGGTCCACTTTMTGAAGGCAAGGGAAACCTAGTAGGCTGTTAAATTGATTTCTACCAAGAAGTACAATCTTCACTTTTCTGTGAGATTCATTCAAGATCTTTGCTACTTTCCAAATTCGAGAGCATGGCTATAGTATAAAATGTTTTGCCACATAAAACATTTATTTTCTGTTGAAAACCGTCATTCCACTACATGATACCATTTTATCTTCACCATAGGAACACTTGTTGACTTTGTTTCCAGAGGTTTGTTTTACCAAAATAAAACCACAGAAACAGAGCTAATATTTATTGGTTATTTAATGTGTATCAAATGCAAATTTAAGTGCTTTATATAAATTTATATAGGTTAATTTATTAAATCTTCATAGTTCCTTGACAGGTTAAGGAACCGGCCCAAAGTTATATAGATAATAAGCAGTAGAGCTAGAATTGCATTACTTTTAAAGTAACTCTGTGAATATGAGTTGAGAACAGTAAATTCTTTGAAACCTGTAAGCTATATACTGCTTCCTATCATGATCCTAGAAGGCCATTTGTACATAGTAGAAATTACTAGTGTTAAATCCACAGATGCCAACAGCCTACTGAACCTTCTACTGAAGATAGTGTGATAGGATTTATTCATTAATCATGTATTATTATAACTACTCTGAGTATGATATTATTCTAAGAACTTACCAAGAATTTGGCAAATAACAAAGTTCCTGTTTTCATAGTGCTTACGTTTTAATGGAGACAGATGATAAACATGCAGGCAACTAAGTCAATTGTGTTACTCTGGTAGTAAATACCATAACAACTAAGTCAGGTTTATGGGGTAAGTGGATAGAAGTAATTTGTTGCATTCAAATACATCTCTGAGAAGGTACTATTTGAGTGGAAACCTGAAAGTTGGTGATAGGTAGTCCTTGGAACAATTTAAATGAGAACCTTTCAGATACAGGCAACAGCAAACATGATAATTCTAAGAATATAAAAATGGCCAGGCATGGTGTTGCACACCTGTAATCTCAGCAACTCAGGAGTCTGAGGTAGGAGGATTACAAATTCAAAGCCAGCCTCATCAACTTAGCAAGGCCCTAATCAACTTAGCAATATCCTATCTCAAAGTAAAAAATATAAAGAAAAAGTACTGGGAATGTGGCTCAATGATTAAGAACTCTTGGGTTCASTTCCTGGTACCAAAACAAAAAGGAATGTAAGACTGAATTTAATGTATAAAGGAAGAGTGAGAGGGCCAGTGTAATGAATTAAGAGAGAAAAATCAATGAATTAACAGGTTTCAGATCATAGAAAGTCTTATAAAGAATTTGGAAGTTGGTAAAGAAGTTTAATGGCAAAGATTTTAATATGCAGTTTCATTCTTAATATCTCTTTTCTGTACAGAAAGTGTGCTTGATGGGGAAGAAACAGGCTGCTACTGTACTACAGTAATCTGGGCAAGAAGGGGTAACTTGGACTAGGGACAGAGGTGTTGAGAACTGGTCAGACTTGAGATATTTTGAGGATCAAGCATAATTTCTATAGTTTGAGACCTGAATTACTTTGTAAATGTGTTTAAATTTATAAGGGAAATTTAGATTGAGAAGAAGTGCAGAATATACTTGAAAGATTGCTGTTTCACGGGTAAAGATTCTGTAGAACGGTTAAACCTTTTTATTATTTAATTAAATGACCATCTCCTGTAGGAACCCTCTTCTGATCTGACCCACTCTATCCCTGAATCTGAGTTAGCAGTCCCTCCTACATGTACTCAAACACACTAAACAAACTAAAACACCTGAGTAATAGCACTTATATATTTATTTTTAAATAGGCCTTTGTATCTCTGCAGAACAAGAGAAGGGAAAGTAATCTTGGTGGGAAAATGATAATGAATGGTAAAGGTATAGGGACAGTATTGAAGAGGAGAATTAGGCAAAGGAGAAAGATTATAAATCAAATCTGTAGTATGTAAATAGCAGAATGTTAAGATTAAAGAAAAAATATTTTGGTTCTGAGAGAATTTTAACTGTGATTGGACTTAATTGTATGGAATAATTGTTTTCAACCATGGCTGCACTTAGAAACACTTGAGTTTTTTAAAATCTTACTGCCCATGAATTATCCAGACTCAAACCAAATCATAATTTTGTAGAGATGGGACCTAGACATGGAAATTCCTGGGTAATGGAAAAATTAGCAAGTGCTATAAAAAGTGGAAAGTGATATTGATTGTAAAAGGGCATTGAAATACAAGTCAAAAAACTGAGCATTCTTTTTATACCTTATTGCTTGGGCAAGTAACTTAATGCCTGGTTTGAGTTCATTATCTGTAATTTGGTTGTTTGTACTCTGAAGTCTATTTTATTACTAAATCCGTTGAATTTAATGAAGGAAATTACAAAATTGAAATACTTTTATGGAGAAGATTAATCAGCTAAGTGCAGGAGAGGTTGGAGTTAAGAAGACATTGAGAGAAAGCACTATTTTGGGGTTGGTGGCCTTTTTTAATGTCAAGCTTTAATGCCTTTTTTAATATCAAGCTTCCTACAGAAACTCAGAAACACTGAGTTTCTGTAGGAAGCTTGATACTTTGAGAATGGAAAGGGGGACACTTTACACTTTCTTTTTTCAGGGATTCCGTCCCCCTCCCCCCCCCAAAAGATTCAGGAGCATTCATTTAAGTAAGAATCTTCAGGGATTTGGTGGCTATGATTGAACTGTTTTTATTGTAACTTCTATTATATATATTGTTTATCTCTAGCAAAAGATTGAATTCAGGATGGCACGTCTTGCCATAAGTATAAAAAGATACACTATTAATCAGTTGTTACAACAGAAATAATTCATTAGGTCATATTCTTTAGGGTTTCTGAAAAATGACCAATAAGAAATTCAATTAATTCTTTGCTTAGCACCTGGCCAAATAAGAGGTAGGAATATACTTGGATATGTTCCCATAGTCCTTTAAGAGAAAAAGATCAATGTAGTATTATAACCATTTAAATGATTTTTTTGTTTTTTCTTTTATTCCTTATCATAAATTAAAAATGGAGAGGATAAATACCTTCCCTGTAGGTTGTTAAAAAGAAGGACAAGAGGACTGAGGATATGGCTCAGTGGTTAAGTACCCCTGGGTTCAATCCCTGGTACCAAAAAAAAGAAGATGATGGAGGAAAAGAGATGAAGTAGTAGTATGTAGTATGTTTGGTTATGAAGTGCTCCATAAATTTTTATTTTACTGTCCTCCCACTTACTTATGTATGATCATGGGTGTGTGTGTGTGTGTGTTTCCTGTTGTAGTTGTGCTTTTTTTTTTTTTTTTTTTTTCCGGTATCAGTGTTTCTTTCTTTATTTTAGTTTTCGGCAGACACAACATCTTTGTATGTGGTGCGGGTCGCACACATGCCAGGCGAGCGCCCTACCGCTTGAGCCACATCCCCAGCCCTGTTGTAGTTGTTTTAACCTACAGTCCAATCTCTTGAATTCTTTTTTTTATCTTTTGTTAGCCTGTATTCTTGGGCTAATATTTTGGAAATGATTTTGTGTTAATTATTCTAGTAAAAGATGAAATTTTCCCCTACTTTCAGCCTACCCACTGCTGATAGTTTGACTCAGGTAACTCAAATTTAATGACTTAGTATATTTTATTGCCTAAATATAAATCATTGTATGTTCATTAGTCAGTGCTATTAATACTTTATTGTACAACACAATTTTAAGTTAAATTTAAAATAACCCCATTACTAAATATTCAGGAATTAATGATCCAGTTTGTAATGATCTTTTTATATCTAGTTCAATAAAACTAAACTAAGACCTTTGAATTTATCTATTAACTTTTTATGAAGAACATGAATTTCGAGGTCTGAAATGAAACAATAATATTTATTTTCTTTATTTCATAGTCTTCCTTCCTTCTAAGCACTGTGAATTAATTCAAGCATGCCAATTCTTAATTAAATTGTGTATTTTCCTTTTTCAGAAGTATCTTTGCTAATATTGATAATCTCTAAAATATTTCTGAATATGTGTAAACAGAGTTAAAGAGGATGAATTTCCATGAGTCATTTGTAGGGTTTCTTGTATGTTATAAAGGGTCCAAACATTTACTAGCTTTTTGGAAAGTGTTTTAATGATGAGTGGGTGGAAAGGAGTGAAAAGGGAAAGGAAAACTTGAAAAAATGGGCAGGTATTAAGATGAGAAAGCAAATGAAGGGAAGATATCAAGAGATGGAAATTTGGAACAAGTTTTGAGGTAGAAGAAGTAGATCAGTGTTAAATTAGAGTTGTCTTCAGCACTCAATAGTGTTGCCATTAACTATGGGAAACATCCTCCTATAGGAAATTTGCAGCTATGGCTGACTACAGGACAGCCTGTTTGGGGAATAGGATTTAAGGTCCCTTAGGTAGGAGCCTTTTCTTTCTATTTCACTGCTATATCACCTGAAGCTAATGCAGTAGTCACTCAGAAATGTTTGTTTGAATGAGTGATGGGAAAATGTGATTTTGGTTATCTGTTATGGGAGCACCTAGGGGGCCGGGAGGAAAACTGATATGCTTGAGGAGAGAGGGAAATGACCAATTTCTTTTGAAGAGATCTTAAGTTAGCTGATTTTTTAATCTCTTGTACTTCCTTATTTTGTCCCATATTCAGAGAAAGTGGCTATAGCTAATGGGATCCTCATGTTAACAAAATTTAAGAGTAAACAAAATAAATGCAGTGACCAAGTCAGTTCCCTTTATGTGTCTGGGAAAGTGACACATTGTCATGCCAATAAATTTTATAAAGATGTTTGAAAGAAAATATTCATGGTATATAGAGAACTGTATTTATTTGGAGGTCATAGTTTTTAAAATCGTCAGGTCTTTGAAAGTTTTAGATCCAAATTAGACCAGTAAGGTGTGTGTGTGTGKGKGGGGGGGTGTCTAGCACTAACATCATCTACTTACTAATTGGCTCTTCCTCTGTCTTATTACTTTCACTTAACTTCCAACTTACAATACATTTAGTTGATCAATGTGCCATTCCTCAGCAGACTAGAAACAGAAAACATTAAAAATTATGGGTAAGGATGATGAAGGAAAGGAAACATTTTCAGGCAGAATGACAACACAAATGACAGCTGTACATCTTTACTTTGAGGAATAAAAGGGTAAAAAATAAACATATACATATAACATTAGCTATCCATGATAATTACTCTGTTCTTTAAGAAAATAACTTACAATTTCATGTTATCTGACTAAAAGTCAATAAATGTCAATACATTTTTAAAACAAATTTGTCCAAATTGGTTAATTTTTTTAAAAAAATATATTTTATATCTCAATGGTAAAACTCTTACTAATCTTAAAAATAACACATATGGAACATAACCATCCCTACATCTGACCCGAGGAGGACTAGATGAACAAAATCATTATACTTTGAAATATTTTTAAACGTCTTAAATTTTTTGTTGCTATGTCTTTATCAGGTTTTTTTTTTTWAAACAGTTGGCATTTTATGTTGGGTTTGTAACAATTGTAATACTGAGAGAGAGAGATGTATAATAGTAAAGAAATTTCTCAAATACATTTTAAAAGTATCATATAAAAATTAAACCTACTTCTGCAAAGGGGGTGGTGGAGGTCTTTCTGTGTACATCAGTTGTGAATTTAAACAGAAACACAAAAGATTGCAAAATTTCTTAAAGGTATATTTGTACAAATTTTGCAAATTTGCCTTTAATAAATTTGAAAACTATTCATTCATAATATTGTAGCATTCTGTTGCTTCTAGGCTTTTTGGCTAAGATCAAGCATAGTATAATATTGTAACATAATCATTGACAGACATAGTTTATTGTAAGATAGAAATATGAAAATGATATTCATTCAAAATGAGATTTCAGACTAGAATTTTTTGTTAAAATCACAGTCCATTTGGAGTAAATTGAATATATCCATTTAAAATTTGCATATTACATTAGGTCATTTTAAATGTTTTAAATTGCCAGCTCCAGAAGATGGATAACAATTTCATTCCTGATGGCAATGAATTTCCTTCTTCTGAATTTTTTTATTAGGTGCACTAGGCCTTCCAATGAGGGGAATGAGCAACAATACCCCTCAGTTAAATCGCAGCTTATCACAAGGCACTCAGTTACCGAGCCACGTCACGCCAACAACAGGGGTACCAACAATGTCACTTCACACGCCTCCATCTCCAAGCAGGTATTTATTGGTGGACCAGAATATTTTTCAAAAAAAAAAAAAATGTATCTTTGTAGAGTAAGCAAGCTTTTAATTTTTTAACAAGGTGATGATTGAATTTCTGGTTCAGTGCCTTTCACCAAGAAAACAAAAATACCTAGGCGCATTTTGCCGATTGATTAGTGCAAGATGTTTTTATTTTATAGCTAGCATACTAGTTGTCCAGTGGGTGAATATCAAGGGTTAATCTCCTCCTGGGGAGCTTTTTCAAAGCCATATCTCTCTTCCTCAAAGATGTACAATTTAAAATGACTCCCCCGATAATTCTGATCCTTGCTCTCTCACCACACATTCATTACTGTAGTGTGAGTAAAAGAAAAGGAGGATGTAGATTATGCAGATTATGCAGATTAGTATGAAGAGGATAGAATGACAGGAATTTGGAGTGAAATTATTCTAAATATATGTGAAATACATTTAATTTTTATCCTAGTCACACCAATAGTTCTCTCATTTTAAATGTCACCTATTTAGTTCCACTATAATTTGCCCGTTTTTAAATTGRTTTGTTTACTTTAATTTTTCTTTTTAAAAAACTAGAATGACTAAAAGAATTTAATAAAATTTAGGAATACAGTTTGAAAGTATATTTGAGATTCTAGGATTATACCAATTGATTATTTATAGATAATTTTAATGAGTGATTGTAGAGAGCTTATTTAGTATAATGGACTTCTTTTTCAGGGGTATTTTGCCTATGAATCCTAGGAATATGATGAACCACTCCCAGGTTGGTCAGGGCATTGGAATTCCTAGCAGGACAAATAGCATGAGCAGTTCAGGGTTAGGTAGCCCCAACAGAAGCTCGCCAAGCATAATATGTATGCCAAAGCAGCAGCCTTCTCGACAGCCTTTTACTGTGAACAGGTAAGATGTTTATTGATACTGTGTATAATTGTCTTTTTGGGTATCTTCAGATTTTCCTTTTCATATTCAATGCTTTGTTCTTGAGTCTTGGCTTCTGTCTCATAAGTGTGTTTCATCATATATTTATGAGCAAAGGTTCTGTTACATATCACAATTGTAAAACTAAAGATACATTCTTTTGAATTAAGTTTGATTTTAGAAAGCTCATTAAATCTTTTTGTTGTTGTTGTTGTTGCTGCTAGAAAAGGATTGTTCTTGGGTTGCCACCAGGCAAATTTTTATTGATATGTCCTACCTTTATTAATTGAGGTTGGTCACCTGTGTGGTAAGAGTTCCAGATTGGTGAATAGGACTAGAGACATGTTTGATTATTACTGCTTTGCTTTGGTTACACTTTGGTTAAATATATTCTCAGTGAAATCCGTTTTGTACTTTGGAGGCTTATTGACCAAAGACTTGTAAGGTTATGTGAAGAGTATTTAAAAATAGTATTGTGTTTAGGAATTTGAAACAAAAACATAAAGTTGTTGTGTTTTTTCACTCCTTTTTGCATTGTCCATTTGCATATACTGTGCAAATGAGAACTATTTTGTTAGTATTTTCAAACTGTTTGGGTAATTTATATGAGTCATATCTAAAATATAAGACTTTCTTGAAAAACATCATTTAAGCTTGATTGCACACACACTTTTTTTTTTAAATGGGGGATTGTGGGAGTGCTGTAGGACCTTGAGCTAAGTATTATCAATATGCTTATTAATTTGCTTTCTTCTTTCTAGTACTTGTAGTATCTGGATTAAAATAGGTTATTAGAATATTTCCTGTTTGTTCTTCATCCCATAAGCTCCAGTTCTTTTATGTAGACTCATAAGTATTTCTTTTATAATTTTATTGCTCTTTAATTTGTTAAAAAATTATGTGTCAAGGGTCATCAAAATTCTCATCTGATAGCTTCCTTACCATATAATATTTCTTAGGCTTTATCACATCTTTCTGCATTCTTGTAATATTGTTCATTGAATGTATGAATTTTTGCCTTTCCATATATTTTCATTTTGTTTTTTTAAAAAAATACTGTTATAAGTTGTCAACRTAAAGTGAATCTCTAAGTCCCTGCTTATTTTTATTATTGATAAGTTGTATTTATTATAAAATGTTCTCATCTTTGAACACTTACTCCATGTTTGAGGGTACCTATATCATCAGCAATTCTAACATGTTAAACAAATATTTTCATTGATTTACCTGCTCTTCTTTAGAGTGCTGTTTCTCTAGCTGCATATTTTATCAATAGTTGTTTGGCCGTAGTTTTACAGATTTAGGAGGGAAAAAACTCAGCTTAAAACAAGTTAAGCCTGCTCAACATTGATATACTAACTGTCTTTTGTCAGATCATTATTTGATGTCAAAGATATATAATTTCATTATAGAATCTGCATTAATAATTCTTGTTGACATTCTTAATTTGCCTTGCCCTGAGTTCAGCTTTGTTCTTTTTTTTTCTTTCTTTNNTTTTTTTTTTTTTTTTTTTTTTTGTTGCTTTTTCTTGTCATGCTTAGGCTTGTGCAAAACAAGTAGGTGGATAGAGGCATTTGTAATTATTTACAAAATACCAGTCGTACATTAATTTGGAATTGGTACTATGGAGAGATATTCTTTCCATTAAATAGATGAAAAGTAAACTATTAGATAAAAATGATGTGTTTTAGAACACTTAATTCAGTTTTTAAAAAGCATCATTTAATTCAGGTCAAGTAAACATTTGTTGAGTGCCTGTTATATCTTAATAAACACTAAAGGGCAGAGGATGCAAGGATGAATATGACATGGACTCTATCCATGAGTTTATATTTTGGTTGGGAGGATATGTTATGATAAGTATTAATAAGTTTCACCAGTAAAGGAAGTAAAGTAAAACAAGTTTTCAGGAAGAATAGTCTTAAACCTACCTGCATATTTTTGAGATTAGGAATACTTTTAGTGTCCAGTAAATTGGCTCACGAGGGACATAAGATGGTACCCTTTAGCCTCTGTTTTCTTGAAGTTTCATTCATAAATTGTTTGTTTTTTTTAATTAATCTGTTTAAGATGTTTTAGTTCTCTCTTGTTCATGAAAAGACTTTTAGAGAAGCTTTTAAATAAAAAATAAAGATTAAACTCAAAAAAATAAAATCAGTATTGATTTTGAAGCATATTGTTGTTTGTATGAGGAGACCAAAAGTATACACTTTTGTTTTTCTTCATCTCAAAGTTAGTATTCTTACTGTATATCTAAAATTATTTTCTATGTACCCAGTATGTCTGGATTTGGAATGAACAGGAATCAGGCATTTGGAATGAATAACTCCTTATCAAGTAACATTTTTAATGGAACAGGTAAGCTTATTCTGGAGCTAGTACCCTATAAAAAATACAGTAGATTTCTGAAATATAAAGCAATTCAACATACTGGTCTTTAAATATTGTAGAATTTCTTATTGTGTTAAGTGGTAGAATTTAATTTAGTGAGAAATTATTAGGAATAGGCTTTAATAAATGGTAGAGAGATATAGTTAAAGACTTTTTTTTTTTTTTACTTGGCATGGTAATACCATAGTGATTTGTATTATAACATCAGGATTATTTCCTTGACACAGTGGAAGAGCCTAAACATTAATTTAGTCTATATTTATGCCTCAGAATTCTTTTTACTTCACAAAACTTTTTCTGTCCTCAGCCCTGTCACTAGGAAAACAATAATCTAGACTAGTTTGGGTGGTAATGATATTCTGATTATAGAGATACAGATTGAAGAAAACCTTTCCGATTATATGGAGCGCTTACCATTCTTTTCTTAATACTAATTTTGGTGTTTAACCCTTTTGAATTTTTCGCCCAGTTGTATGTACATAATTCAAAAATTTAGTTGCATGGAGAACCAATTCTGATTTTGACAAAAAGTTCCTGCAGTCTGTTGGTTTATTTCTTTTATCAACTGCTTCAGCCAGAAGCAAATAGGGAGCAGTGTTGCTATTTTGCTTTAGGTTTTACTCTCTTCACCCTTGCCTCCAGACCCTTTCCTGAGAAAGGAAATAAAGGATGTTGTTATGATTATAGGAGCAAAATTGGGCTGGATTTCTGGGAGAGAAATACTTGTAAAGGAGGAAGTAGGTGAAAGAAAAGGAGGAAGTAGGTGAAAGAACAATTAGTGAAATGGTGTATATATTGGAAGCATGAGAGAAAATTTAATAAGGAAATGTCATTGGTGGCTATGGGCTTTTAATTTTTAAATGTTAATGTATGCTCAGCAGCATAGGTTGACCATAATTAAATCATTTGAAAAAAATTCCAAATTCAGCATTTGTATGTGGTGGTTTTGTGTTCAAGGTGTTAAAATACTACAAAGTACTATATCTCATTGTTTCTAAAATGTACATATTTTTATATTATAATTATCTGTGAAATCAGGCTGCATGCCACAGTTCAGTCAGGTTTTTCCACAAATGGAACATAAAGTAACAGTGTATCTGACAGTGTCATCTTAGATTCTGAATTATGGTTCTGTACACTGCTATAAAATTTTAGAATTCTTTTTAAAATTCTCTTTTAACTGAGTGTTTTTAATGTGGGAAAATTATTTTCAAGTTTTTCCCTAAAAATACAAATTTGGGAGTTTATTAACTTTTTAGGTTAAAATATATTCTCAAATAATGGCAATTTTGAATTGCATCTTGTAAGTCCTAAAGTCATATTAAAAGTTAACATATATCCAAAGTTTGTAATTATTGTGTAATCAGATAATTTAAGATATTATTTTATAAGTGGAAACAATATGTAATTTTAAAATTTCTATTGTCTTGTTCACATAATAGTATATTTAATTGAAAATTTATAAACTAATTTTTAAACGATGGGGGTATGAATCATTTATCTTTACCCTTGTAGTTTTAAATTATCACCTGTATTAATGGAGTGGTTTTTTTTCTTTAAACAAAATAATCAAAGGTAATAGTTGAGATTCCTTTAATTACAAAATTCAGAGAAAAATGAGAATGAATTTGATAATAGCAAAAATTTGAAAATAGTTATAAAGCAAAAAAATGAAATAAAAATTAAAACGGTAGCATAGGGTGAATTGGAGGTGTAGAAAATTAGGTTCTTCAAAAATTAAAATAAACGTTGTAAGAATACTAAAAGTTGAAAAAAATCAAGAGATGATTACTGTAGGCAAAGGAGAAAAGTTGGGTTAAATATTAATTTTAAAGGAAGCAGACTGGCTTAAATGAGTAAAAATAAGTTTCATATATTTAGTATATATTTATTGAGCGCCTACTGTGTAATAGGTAATACAAACTTCTGAGGTTAATCTATTTCCCAGTCACTCCCCAGACATTGGAATCCTACTTATACCTCTGTCCCCAGAATAAACAGACAGATACACACACACACACACACACACACACACACACACACACACACATATTTGTATATGAATCCAGTAGGTTACAGGGAAGAAGTCCTCAGGTGTTCTTCACTGTCCCCCAGTCTCTTTCTAGCCATTTGGAGGTAATTTTATTGTCACATATGTGTGTAACTGAAGCTTCCAAGCATTCCAGATAAAACCTCCACCAAATATAATGAAGATATCATTTACAACAATCTCCCTCTTGTTAGCTAATAAGCTATAAATTTAGGTTGCCATCTTCCAGAGGGGGATATAATATACATTCTCACTCCATATTCTTTTAATACTCTGGTTGCATATTGTTTTCCTCAGTTGTTCGTGAAATTCTTTAACATGAAATCATTCCACAAGTATCTTTTGAGCACCTCCATATAACCTAATACAGTGTTCTGCATTATTTAGGAACAGGGCACTGTTGTCTCAATTTATATTGTGATTGGGTTTTACAATCTTGGTTTAAATGTTTGTGGAACCAATAAATATTATTCTTTCTTATTATTTAGATGGAAGTGAAAATGTGACAGGATTGGACCTTTCAGATTTTCCAGCATTAGCAGACCGAAACAGAAGGGAAGGAAGTGGTAACCCAACTCCATTAATAAACCCCTTGGCTGGAAGAGCTCCATATGGTAATTAAGCTTTTTTATGATGGCCAATGCAAACTTTCTTTTGCATGTACACATATGTATGTATGCATGTGTGTGTGTTTATATATGTAAATACATATATTTGTGTTTTCCAATCAGGTTAGTATAATTTCATCAGAATTCACACAGAAGGATTTCTGTGTCTTTCAGAATATGTAAACTGTAAAACTGTACAGAAACCCAAAAGGAAGTTCTTATTGTTATTCAGAAGTTATTTTCTGCTGATATCTCTGCATTCACCTAAGTGGTTATGTGGTCTGCCTTTTCAAACTTGCCTTAATTGATCCCACATTTTTTCAAAAGCATATATTCCTAGTTATTAAAAATGAATGTCTATACATTGAAGACCTTTCTTTAAGCCAAGGTTTCTCGACATTCACACTACTGACATTGGACTCAATAATGCTTTGTAGACAGGGGATTTGGATGTGCTATCCTGTTTGTATAGAATGTTTAGCAGCATTCCTGCCTTAAGCCGACAAGCTGCCAGCACAATCATTGTTGTTTCCAGACATTGGCAAATGTCCCCTGGGAGGAAAAATAACCCCTACTGAGAACCACTGTTCAAGGAATATATAATAGTTTATGTAGACTCTTGATCATCATTAATACCCTTCATTATCCTTTTTCACTGTGCTAATAGATAAAGGATTTGGCTAATAAAAGTTAAATAAAAATAAAGGGAAGGAATCATGCAACAACAGTATAGCAGTTTTGACGTGAAAATTCTGTGATGGCTGTATACCCGTATTCTGCCACATAGTTGGTTCCTTTTGGGAAGACTCTTAATAGAGACAAAGAGCAAAACAATGCATTTAGAAAAGGGATCAGTTCATCATTTATTCTAAAGTAGAACTAATAATATTTTTCCCATTATCAACCAAGAACAATTTCTGTGTCTTTCAGAATATGTAAAAAAGGCAAAGTTTTATTGTTCATATTTTAAAGTTTCTAAATTAATCTTCCAAAATAACAAAAATTGATCTGTCCGGGAAGTTGAGTACCTAGCTGCTTAGTTCTCAGTTGAGACTCTAATGTTTTTAACCTTTCCTCATAGGTCCATTTTTTCATCCCTTTAATCATTCCCGTTGCTCTTCTTGGACCATCTCTAGTTTCTCCATATCGTTCTTGAATTGTGGAGCCCCAAACTGCATATTGTTCTCCAATAAGGCCCCGACTAATGCCAAGTATAGTGGGAGGATTATTTCCCAGATCTTGCATGTTTTACATCTATAACATGGAATCCAAGAAAATCTGAAATAATATGGAGTTGTTTTATAATTGATTGCAATTTGCTCACTCTGTAAGTTACTTTCAAGTAGAATACTTCCATGTTCTTTTAAAATTTATTTTGTTCCTTTTTTATTTGAAAGTTAACTAGTATTTATAATATTTAGTCAAATATTTAAAGCATGTTTTTAAACCAAAAATTTTAATAATCCTTACCAATATCATATCAAATCATATTTTTAAGAACCTATGTATGACATTAGATTAGAATTGCAGGATTACCACTAATTTCCCTTGTATTACTTTGTGTGTTGAATTGTTAATCAGTACACCAAAATTTAGTTCTTCATTGCTGTCCTGATTACTAGTTTTTTGAAGTATGCTTTCATAACATTAAAAAAATCTTGTGGTATATTATGATGAGGAAAGTTAACTTTTTATAGCATGTAGCAAAATATCATGAATATCAATTGCAATTCTCTGGATTATTTTTATTACATAGTTGGAATGGTAACAAAACCAGCAAATGAGCAATCCCAAGACTTCTCAATACACAATGAAGATTTTCCAGCATTACCTGGTTCCAGCTATAAAGATCCAACATCAAGTAATGATGACAGTAAATCTGTAAGTAACTGAGAATTGTATATGTGAGTGATATAATTTTCTTCCCTTCAGATTTGTATTAACAGTTACTTACTAAATACTATTACGAAACTGTTTATCTTGCATATCTGTAATAACCTAACTTCTGAAGAATGCAGAAAAGCTTTATAACTTAGAAGATAGCCYATTTTTTTCCTATTTCATATAGGTATGCAAATTTCTGTTGAACTTCTCAGAGTTAATTTAGACTTTTATTGTAGTCCCTGTCAGCTGGATCCCATGAAGTTTGATAATATAGCCTTCTAAGGAGCTGTGTTTTTCTTGAGTAAGTTTTCTCCTTGAAGAATCTTTATACACATTTTTATACCTGTGTTGATTCAGCCAACTCAGCTTCTTTCTGACTTAACAAATGTATTTATTTGTTCCACATTTCACTGAAAATAGCCTTTTGTATGTGTGATGGGAGTTTGTATATTATTAAAGTCAATAATAAAAAAGATGATTGGGTAAGAATTCTAATAAGTTTAACTTTTTTAAAGTCCGTGTTTCTAGCTAGTCTTAGAGGTTGCTTTCGTGAGTGTAACTAATAGTGTATCTCAAAGCAGAAGCCCCTGAGAGGGGTTTTTTCTCATTGATTTAAGATCCAACATAGTTAAGAATATTTTCCCTGGATTTCTTGTCCATTAAATCTTTAAATGTGGATGGTCTGGGATTTGTTCATATACCATGGGACAATTATGGAAACAAAATTTTCATGTAGAACTTGAAAATCAGGTAAAAATGTACTACCAATTTATGGTAAAGAATGAATAGTAAGGCATTAATATACTGACTTGAATTTATGTACTTAAAGCATTTTAATGTCACATTTAATTTTTTTCATGCTAGAATTTGAATACATCTGGCAAGCCAACTTCAAGTACAGATGGACCCAAATTCCCTGGAGATAAAAGTTCAACAACACAAAATAATAATCAGCAGAAAAAAGGGATCCAGGTGTTACCTGATGGTGGGACTCTATAAATATGTCAAAGATATTATAAAATGCATTTTCTTTACTTTTTCCACACAAATAAAAATGACTTTTCTTATCCAGGTCGGGTTACTAACATTCCTCAAGGAATGGTGACGGACCAATTTGGAATGATTGGCCTGTTAACATTTATCAGGGCAGCAGAGACAGACCCAGGAATGGTACATCTTGCTTTAGGAAGTGACTTAACAACATTAGGCCTCAATCTGAACTCTCCTGAGTAAGTTTGGTTTTTTCTTTTTTCACATTTGTGTATAATATTTCTACTATTTAATCTTAAACACCAAATTATATCATTTGCTGACATTCATTATTATTGTTACCTGCTTACTTTTTGGGTTATTCGTGTCATATTAGTACTTGATTCATCATCATCTGTATTATTATTGCTCTTATAATTGGGTCCACTATTATAGATGTATATGTGATCCTTTAAAAAAAATCCTGAAATCTTGGTTCCTTGAATGTCTTTTTTCCAAAAAGTTTGTTTTCTCATACTTCAGCCACACCTTACGTTATCCTTTTGATCTGTCATTGCTAATAATTACAGTCTTTGCATCATTTTAAGTGATGCTGTTATGCTTTGGCCACTACTTCTGTTTTATATCTGTCTCCCTCTAGTATTATAACTCTTATAATCATTTGGGACCTTTTGTTTTTTAAAATGTATTTTTTTGGTTGTTGATGGACCTTTATTTTGTTTATTTGTTTATATTCGATGTTGAGAATCAAACCCAGTGTGTCACACTTGCCAGGCAAGCACTCTACCACTAAGCGACAACCCCAGCCCACTCCTTGGGACCTTTAATCCATTGATTCTTATACATTTTCACCGTTCCTTGGTATACCTGTCCGTCTTTCCCTTTTGTGAACTCATTTCCTTCTCATTCATTAAATACTGTGGTCAGTCATAATTGCTCATTTACATATATCCTTGACTTCTTTGCCCCTCTTTCACTTTGTAACACTTGCATGTAACTACAGCCTGGTGGGTTTTCTGCCTGTTCTATTCYTGAGTGTGCTGCTGAACTCAGAGTAAAGTTATACGACTTTACTGCCTTTCATTATGGCCAAGAACCTCAAAAGGAGATCCTTAATATTGCCAAATCTACTTATACCTGGGATGCCTAGTCTATTCTTTTTTCTTTTCTAAACAACTATATTACATTTCTGCAAACCCCTAATACCTTCTCCCCCTGTCCTTTCTCTCAGATGATGACCTTGCTTTTTATGTGTACTTTTCCAAGAAGGAGGGTGGATCAATCAAAAAAGAACATGGGGCCAGGCGCCATGGCCCATGCCTGTAATCCGTGGCTCAGGAGGCGGAGGCGGAGGCAGGAGTTTTGCGAGTTCAAAGCCAGCCTCCCCAGCAAAAGCAAGGCACTAAGTAACTCAGTGAGATTCTATCTCTGAATAAAATACAAATAGGACTGGGGATGTGGCTCAGTAGTTGAGTGCCCCTGAGTTCAATCCCTGGTACCAAAAAAAAAGAGAACATGGGCACTTTCTACTGCCATCTGCAACCACTTTATTCTTGTCTTTTACTGTTTTACTTTCTACTCTAACACTCTCTTGAAAATTCAAGGATATGACAGTTTTCACACTTAATTATTTCCATTAGCATTCAAATATACTACTACTTCTCCCGTTTTAAAAAAGAAATCTTGTCTTGGTCCAGCCTCCTTCTTTGATGAGTTTATGTTCTATTTCTTTATTCTCTTCAAAGCAAAACTGTTCAGAATAATCGCCTGTTTCTCCAAATTTTCCATCAGGATTTTGTCCCCACCATTTCACTAAAACTGTACTTATGAAGGTCACCAAATAGCCTCCAACATTAGTAAATTCAGTGGTTTCTTCTAGAATTTCTTTCTCCTTGAATTGGAAGACACAATTCTTATCTGATTTCACTGGTTGATTCTTTTATTTTTATTTTTTGCTGATATCTTCTTTTATCTATTTACTCCCTTAGAGACCAGTTTCATAGTTTTAAATACCATATATATTGAGGAACCCTTTCTAGCTTCTCTCCTGGACTTGAGATTTCCAGATTCAATTAAATATTATTGAGATGATCTTGCTCAAATTTAGTGCATCTGTAGCCTTCCTAATCTTGGTTTATACTTCCAGAAGCTTAATATCATCTTTAACTTCCCTTTTTCTTTTGTACCCTATATCTAGTCTTTTTCCAAAATATATACATAATTTGTGATCAGATTATGTATATATTTAAACTGCTACCAGTCTGATTTGAATCAACAGCCATCCTCTATTATCTGGCCGTTCTGTTAACCAACCATCAGGTATTCACAATTCTTTAGTTTCTAAATATTGTAGCAGCCAGGACAATCCTTTTTAAATAAGTTATTCCTTTACTCAGTACCCATTAAGGATTTATGGTTTCATTATAGTTACCCCCCCCCAATTTTTATAGCCCTACAACATCTTGCCTAGTCATTTCGTCTCCCCAAACCCTACCTCAAAAGCTTTTTCGTTTGTTTACTGTGTGTTCCATCTTCACTGGCATTCTTGCTATACCTAAGATTTCAATCATGTTCCTGCCTTAGTTGATCTAAGAAGAGTCTAACTAAAACAGATTGTACCTGGTAGTTAATATGATTATCTCCTTCAGTCTTTGTCCAGATCTGACCTTCTCAATGGTACCTAAACTGACCACCCGATTTAATTATGCAATCATTTCTCTTTCCCTAACATGGGTTATTTATATATTATCCTAAATTTTCTGCATCTCTAATGTTTCACACTTAATCAGAAAGAAAATTTTATGTAGTCAGTAATCTTTGTTTTGTTTACTTATATATCCCAAGCACCTAAAGCAGTGCCAGACATATAATAGGTACTCAGTAAATATTTGGTGAATTTGAAATTTGCTCTTACTATTGGGGTAGGGGCACATAAATGGGAAATTAATTTAACTTCAAGGCATAATATTGATGAATTTAAAGCATTCTTAGTTGAAGTCACTTAAAAATAGGAAATTTGAATCATACTTTTTTAAAATATTGTGATAACTTGTTTATATTATTACAGGAATACTGAGAGAAGCAATCCCACTGTATTTTTCATATGTATAGATATATGTTTCAGTTTTCTGCTGTATAAGTCATAGTAAACCCAAGAAATTAGAAGTAAAGATGGTCATTTTATATTTGAGGTCTGTTTTTCCTAGTTTTTGTGAAATTAGATTAGAAATTTGTTTTTCTACTTTGGATTTCAAAGTGGTTTTTTTCCCCCCTTATTCAGAAATCTCTACCCCAAATTTGCATCACCCTGGGCATCTTCACCTTGTCGACCTCAAGACATAGGTAGGAGAAGCTGTTTATGTCGAGAACTTTTTGAAAAATATTTATAACTGAGAATCAGTTAATAAGGCTTTTTTCATTTTATTATCCAGACTTCCATGTTCCATCTGAGTACTTAACGAACATTCACATTAGGGATAAGGTGAGTGTAGTTTATTATTCTACTCAGTCAGCATGAATTTTATCTATTTTTCAGGTGCCGCTTTTCAGTTTAGACAGCATAATATTTTTAAAATAATTAACAGTGGTCTTGGGGATATGCTTTTGTATCTTCATTCAACTTATATGACAGTTTTATTTCTATTTTTGTTTATGATCTTAATATTTTGATAAAGTCCTAGATTGTAGTTTAAAAATGAAACAATGTTAGGACTGGTAAAATATTTCTCACGGTTAATAAAAGGATGTAATCATAACCACATTCAGTGGGAATAAACTTATGGAAAATTTGATAAATTTTCTTCTGATATTCTTATTTTATGCCTTACCCATGAGAAAGAGTTTTTCTTAAAAATAGTACATAGGTGCAGTTTTTTAATGGAACAACTGTACATCTTTTAAAATTATTTATGACCTTGGCTTTTTTTTCTTTTACTTTGTTTAAATTACCTACAGTTCTAATTATAAAGTAATTATTAACAGATTACAGCTTTTATCTGTTTATTTCACTGTAAGAAAGAAAATGGTAGAGTTCATTTCCATTAGAAAAAAATTCAAATGAAAAAAATATGAAATCTAAATTTTTGAAATTGTGAAATGATGACTTAATGGAAGTGTGTGTGTGTGWGWGAGAGAGAGAGAGAGAGCGAGACAGACAGACACTGTATTTAAATGACAGCATTCTGATTATGTACCACACAGTTGTATGGTCAAATGGATATTGATGTTGTGGACAGGCAGATAAAGAGAGAAATATATCCCAAGACRTCTTTTAATTGTCTACATACGTGGAAAACAAGAATTATGATAACAGGGAGTGCTGGTATTTTTCATTTGTGGATTTTGTGATATTCTGTCATCTCTACTATAGAACTCTTTTGCTCCAGTTTACATATTTTTGCGGAACATTTCCTTAGACCATTTTGAGAAATGCTGAAAATTGGTTGCATTTGGTAACCGCCACCTGAACAGGGGTGACATGAATGGGGAGAAAAATGACATTCAAGAATGTGTGACAGCCAAGTAAACACTTAGGTGTAAAACATCAGATAAACAGATACATTTTTTGTTATTGTTGTTTTGGGGTGCCTTTAAGGTTTATTTTAATTTGAAAATTTGAGACTGTTGAACTCACTTAATAGTTTGGTGACTGGTTATTTTCTATCTTGTGAAGAGAAATATAGTCATTCTTCAGTCACTTAAATCATAATTCTGTATTCCCATCTGAAAATAGAACCAAGTGATTTGTGAATCACTGTCAGGTATAGATTCAGTCTACACTTATTATAAGCCTTCTGTATACATGATTCTTTCATAAACCCTCACTCATTTAATTTCATTTACTTTTTAGTAACTTTCATAGGTGTCTTTTTCCACATTTTGCAACCGAAGCTCATAGATGTTAAATAACTTGAATGTGGTCATAGAATTAGGACTTAAATACGAGTTCTAGATCTTTGAGCACAATATTCTTGTGTTATTGCCACATTGGATATTAATAAATCCTTGTAGTGAGATGATAATATTTGGTTTCACTTGAAAATTTTTATTTAGCTTTTTCCCATTGATATTATCAAATAGAAGTAACAGACATAATTGTTGTCATTTGAGTTAACCAGTTACCTGCTATGAAATGATAAGTTTCTGTGTATCTTTCCTTTGTTCTTTTTTTTTTTTTAACGTCAGTGGTAGCAATTATATGTTAAGATTTTAGATTTGTTTAACATTTCAGAATAATTTTTCTTTTCTAGCTGGCTGCAATAAAACTTGGTCGATATGGAGAAGACCTTCTCTTCTATCTCTATTACATGAATGGAGGAGACGTATTACAACTTTTAGCTGCAGTAGAGCTGTATGTTGAAAGTTTTTTAATCACTTTTTTATTATAGTGAATCTTGACTATTACGAAAACTTTTTAAAATGATAATGCCATATTGAGTAAAAATCTTTATCAATAAATTTATTTTTACATTTAATAAAATACCTTTAGATTGAAATTATATAATTACTGTGGCTTCATAATCGTATATATAAAAAGAATTTCACAATTAAATAATGCTAAATTTATAAGAAAGCAATCAACTTGACTCAGATTTGGTGAATCATTTTGTTAAATGTATGAATTATAAGGTATGCCTGTGGTTCTTTTCAGTCCTTATGGAACCACATATATTAATTAGAAACCAAATTTCATCAACCAATAAATATTTGTTGAGTATTATATAGGCAAGGCACTGTGCCTATTTGTTGTGTGTTTTGAAGTGCTATAAAATAAGGTCCATATTATCCTAGTATTATCATAAGGACATATGATATAAAAACATTATTATAGTTTTTCTAATTATGTTTTTATAAATGGCCTTGAATCCAATACTTCAAAATGTATTTAAAATGACTGTGTTGATAATGAATTGTATAAATTTTTATTTCAATTGAGAGAAATTCCCCATTTTCCCTCTTTTTTATAAAATAGGAATTATCATTTGTTCCTTTTAATTTGTTCATAAGTAAATTGACTCATCCATCTATAATTAGCCATTGTTGTCTTTATGTCTAAAAACTACCTCATTGTGTTGGAAGGAAAGTGTTTATTTACATGAAGCCTTTAATGTCCCTTTTGGGGGACATTAACCAATTCTGAATATTCCACAATTTTTAAGTTGTATAAATCCTCACTAGTTTTTGCATGAACTCTAATAAGATTTTGAGAACTCTTATTAGATTTTGAGAATTTAGGATTGATAATATTTGAGTTAAAAAAATAAAGTAATACAGTCATTAAATTTTTCAAAATGGATATTGTTTTCAACATAGTTATAAAATTACATCAATTTAAAAGTTTAATTCAAAAATACTTTGTATTTAGTTTCTTACCAAATAATATAAATAGTTGGGGTTTTGTTTTAATAAACATCTCAATATCTGTTGAGTGTTCAGAAGAGCAAGTCAGGAATGAAGTTTCTAGAACATGTTGAATCTTTATTTGGTCTGCCCAAGGTTTTATTACTCATTGGACTTTCGACGTCTCATTTGTTTGCATAAAAAATTAACTTTCATTAAATAAAGGTATGGGGTTTAGTAATAAATTTGCTTTCTGGATAAATTTAAAAATTATTTTTCTATATTCCATTAGTGTTGTATTTAATAACAGTAAAGACTCAGAAGCCTTGTAAGAAGAATCCATATTTATGTATATTTTTGTGTGTAATTTTTTCTGAGAAAGGTTTTTCAAAATATAGGAAATGTTTGATGTGAGCCACAGGAAATAATTACCCTTTTCTTTTAAAATTTGAAGTTTTAATCGTGATTGGAGATATCACAAAGAAGAACGAGTATGGATTACCAGAGCACCAGGCATGGAACCAACAATGAAAACCAATACATATGAGAGGGGAACATATTACTTCTTTGACTGTCTTAACTGGAGGAAAGTAGCTAAGGTATATTTTTTTCCACGTGCAACTGTGTAAATCTAGACTTTAAAAAAGAAGTGTGCTTTTTATTCTGTTTATGTGTACCAATATGTCCATTCCAATAATGTGCCAGTTCTACCCACATCATTTTTTTCTCTACCTGCTTGACTTGATTTTACCTCTAGGACAATGTAAAAAGAGTTAATTTCACTATAATAGGTAAACTTGGGAAGAGATTTGTAAATTTGCACAAGACTTTATAACATTTGAAATTTTTTTTTTTTGTCTAATGAATTGTAAAATAAAGATACCCTTTTACAGGACAAGTCATGTATTTTCATGTTATTGTTACTGTAAGCAAGGATGAGATTTCCCTAAAAGGAGTACATAAAAGGCTTTTTATACTTGCACTCATTATGGGAAAAATACATGAATGTTTATTTGCAAATCATTTAAAGGAAGAAAATTGCAAGGATTAACCATTACTACTTCGGTGACAACTATGCTAAATATGAGGAGGAAATGGGCTGTGCGGAAAAGTTGATTGTTTTATTTTGGTTTTGCAACTTTTGCCTCACGAAAATGCCCTTATAACTGTCCTATGTGCAAAATTTCCATCAGTGTAAACATATATTTCACATGTGTCCACTACCTTGCGTGTACTTAAGTCTACTCAGTTAAGAATATAGCCTGTATTATCCAATTTCACCAGTTATTTTCCTGAATTGATTTTCTATTATTGATTCTTAGGATTGTAAACTCAGTAGTTAAATTTACTTAAAACCAATAAAATTTAAACAAACAATGCTCACAATCAGTTCTTTGGATAATGTTTTAGTTATTAGTTTTGAGTTGGTTTGTGGTTTTGAATCAGCTTTAGTAACTGATAACTTACATTTTAAGAAAACAGTTTAAAATGCTTAATATATATATATAAAACAAAAAAGTTTGATATCTCAAGATTTCATGTAGAACTTGGATCAAAAAAAGAAGTAACCCCAACACAAACACCAAAATAAAAAACAAATATCAGGCTAAATCTTATTTTTATTGTTCTTTTCAGATTTCTTTACTTCTCAAAAGTTAATATGAGTATCTTGGTTTCCAAAAGAATGTATGATTTTAACATTTTGGATAGAAATAATTGTGCAAATTAAAAAATAATACATGGGACATTGTGTATTTTACCTATTTAAGAAGTATGTTATCACAGAAAGCCATAGCCTACATGTCATGTATTTTGTTTGTTTTTGAGGGGGTGGGTACCAGGGATTGAACCCCAGGGTGCTTAACCACTGAGCCACATCACCAGCCCATATTATTTTTTACTTTTGAGACAGGGTCTCACTAGGTTGCTTATAGCCTCACTGAGTTCCTGAGGCTGATTTTTGAACCTGCAATCCTTCTGCCTCAATCTCCTGAGTCGCTGGGATTGTAGGCATGCACTACCACGCCTGGCCATGTCATGTTATTTTAATTTAACTTTTATTCATGCTTTATCCTTGTGTAAGTTTCCTTTCTATGCCTATTTCTTCTTTTGTAAAATGTAGATGTTGCTTTCCTCTAGGCTGTCATGAAGATTAAATGCAATTTAACACACAGACATGCATACATATATATCATGAGTATAGTCATCGTATTTGATACATGGTAGTAGTTGTGGCAGTTTTGTTGCTATTATTTTTATCATCACTGTGATAGCTTACTACTTCATTCTTTCAAACATGGAAAAAATGTAACTGATTTGTTTTTAAGTCATTGGTTCTCAAACTTTAGCTGACTTTTCAGAATACAGATTACTAAGCCATACCTGAACTGTTTCTGATCTAGTAAGTCTAGGTGGTCTGAGAATTTGCATTTCTGACAAGCTCCCAAGTTATGTCAGATATGACACTGGTCCTGCTCCACACTTAATTCCGAATTAAGGGATACTATGGGGGAGAGGGTGTTTTTGGAGGGGAAAATATTCTACTTGTAAATAATTGAAGCTTTTTGTTCAGTATCATTGTAAATTTCAAGCCTATATATGCAAAAAGGAATAAATGTTTGCAATATACATCTGTGTAGTTGTAGTTAAATTTTTAGTTAGACATGTATCAGGAAAATAACTTTTGTGAGAAATTTAGTTTTCCATAATTAAGTTCTCCCTGTAAAGCTAAATATTCAGAAATAACTTAAACATTAATATAGAGCCCTTTTAACTTTCCAACAAAAGTAATTCGTCATTCAGATAAATGTTAAAGAAAATTATATCTATCTAAAATATATATGAAGTATATATAATAATACATACAGAAGTAATTCTTCATTCAGATAAATGTTAAAGAAAATTATATCTAAAATATATATTAAGTATATATAATAATACAGTATATATAGTTAAAACTTATTTTGACTTATCTGATATCCTTTTTAGTTGAGCTTTTGTCTTTACTTTTAAAAATTTTAGCTGTTAAGTGGGAAAGTAAGATTTGAGAAATATTCTTCTTCTCTAAGAAATCTCAAGTTAACAATTTGTTGGCCACTTGCATGATGATATCACCCTATATAATTTTGCTAGAATTACTCGTCTCACGAATATCAGATTGTGATAATTCAAATAGCGTATACATAATCTTAATGAACAGATTTTTAAAACAATTTCTTCCACAGTGAATTTTTAGGTGATACGGCCTCTCTTTCTCAATTAAAGACTTGAAAATTTGAGAAATTCATTTAGTCCAGTCATCTTTAGATCTAATAGGATTTGTTACACTAAGGATTTTTTTTATCATTGCTTGATATACATGTGGGTTTTTTTTTATTAATTTTGCTGATACATATTAGTACATTTTTATATTTTCATAATATATGCTTTTCTTCAAAATTATTACTCATAATTATATTTAAGATAGTTTGCTACTTCCTAAAATTTAAATTAATATGGATTCATTAGTAATAGGAAGCCAAAATTTTGTGAGAATTTGTGGAAACATTCATACAGTATAAGTTTCTATATAATTAGATCACTGGTAACATTGTCTTTGCAATAATTACTTATTTGGTTCCTTTGAATCCAGTGTGTAATTTCATTTCTGCCTGAATTAAATAACCTTTTGAGAGTATATAAATTTATTTTATTACTGGGAAAACCAAGTCATTAAAAAGTTACTTAAAAAGCAAATATTCTGTTCCTAAAGCAAAAGAATAAAAGTGGGTTTTTTTGGTTTGTTTTGTCTATCAGATGTTAATTACACTCTTGCTAGGAGTTTTGCACTATTGCAAGCATTAGGTAATAATGTACAGACACATTTTTTGTTCCTAAGAAATGTTCAAAGATGTGCATGTATGTAGTTATATGTATACATTTTACAAACATGTAAGAGATCTTACCAATAATCAACTTAAGATTTGTGAACCAAAGCAATGTGTTTAAGCTTTATATATTTTTAAAAGGAGAAAATACATGGAAGACTAAATATGACCTGTATAATCTCCATTGAAGTTTTTTTTAATTATTAAAATATTTATGCTCCCTAAGTTTAAACTAATCTTTTTCTAGAATGTGGGGGTAAAAATGTATGTAGACTAATAAAACTAGCTGGTTTAAATTCTAATAATAATTCATTGTAGTTCATCTGTGTGAATGAAATTTTAGTTTATGTAACTTAAAATTTATCATTTGTAAAAGTTACAACTAGGCTTTTTATGCTACATACATTTTGAAAACTAATATGCCAGTTTTAATTTCAAAAGAATGATTTTTAAAAAATGATTTTTTAAATTACTAATTTGGATAATCAACTTCAGTCAAACAATAAAAATCTTTTAGTTCCTAGGTAGGGGTAGGGAAGATTGAAAGGCAGCTACCATAGTTCATTAGGCAGATACTGTGTCTGTGGTAGTTTTGGTGTTTGTTAGTTTTTACTGTTAAGCAAATAACCTTCATACTATGAATCATCTGAAAAGAACCTTTTTAAAAAGCCAGAGTCACAACAGTGTTCTTACTTTATAAATTAATATCATGAAACAATTTTTTTCAAAATTACTTTTGGATTGGATATATTTGAAGTAAATCTGTTTTGGAACTTGGGATAAACGTATTTTAAAAAATGTGTTACACTAGAAAAACCAAAAGCTTTGGTGTCACATGGGTCTGGATCCTAATCCTAGGAGTTCCACTTATATGCCTTGGGTAAGTTACATGTGAACTTCGTTTCCTCAGGTGCAAAGTGAAAATAATATCTACTGTTGAGTTTAATATAAAAATTTGGGATAAAATTAGCCATATCTCTAGTTTTGGCACATACTAGGCTTTTAAGAATTATAGTTTTGGCACATACTAGGCTTTTAATAATTGTAAGTGGTTTGTCTATAGTTGTAATATACTTTAAATACGTGATTCTGTATCTGAAATTTTGATTACATGACTTCAGTTTTCATTTTAATTTAATAATGGAAACATTCATTATGAAATCAGTTTGAAACTAGACACGGGTAAAATATGTTAACGCATAGTTGCAAATGTCACTAGTTTAATCTTTAAATACATAATTCATATTGAGAGAATCTTTATATGGAAATATGTAGTGATAGTCTGTGCTAATTAAATTCAGGTTATAGTATTAGTAATTTTAGAGTGTCTGTTTTTTGCAGCTGCAGATGTGTTTGTTGTTTTTCCCCCCAGTATATATAGTTATATTTGCATTTCTGTTCTTTAAGCATGGAGGAAAGGAGTCTGAAAAAATTGCCATTCTTAAATTTTAAAACTCATGGAGTATTTTGAAAGTTTGCTTAAAATGAACAGTCTAATTATCAGATATGCCTACAGCAAAAGTACTGTCTTGCTTTGGCAGTTAAATTATCTCTAAGTTCAGGGGTTTTGAGTTTGTGAAATGGGAAGTTCTGGAGTGTGAGTTTTAAGGTCACTATCCTCCGATTTTTATGAAGTTAGAAGAATTTTACTTGTTTAAAATAAAGCATGATAAAGACATATAGGAAAAATCTTCATTTTGAACTTTTTCATGAGCAAAAAGTAAATTTTTAGGTTTTTGTACTTTTGAGAGTATGAAACGGTCTTTTTAAAAAATACACTATAATCTTCAGTGCTTTGCATTAAATGTTTAGTGATTTTTCTCCTTTTAAGTAAAAAGTTATAACATTTTACTAAATGTTCACGAATAGTCTCAACTTAGATGCAGAAAGTCTACAATTTTGTACTTATAAAATAGAATTACATTTTTCTTTGTATTTCCATTCTTATGTAGTTATTTTAATTGGTTCATATGGTAAAATGTATTCTGATAAAAATTTGAGATCAAAAAGATGAAATCATCTATTTCATGAATTTTTTTTTTTTTTGGTAGGAGTTCCATCTGGAATATGATAAATTAGAAGAACGGCCTCATCTGCCATCCACCTTCAACTACAACCCTGCTCAACAAGCCTTCTAAAAAGACTTCCCTTTTCTTGGGGTATGGCTGTCTCAGCACAATACTCAACATAACTGCAGAACTGATGTGGCTCAGGCACCCTGGTTGTAATTCCTTGAGGATCTGGCAATTGGCTTACGCAAAGGGTCACCATTTGAGGTCCTGCCTTACTAATTATGTGCTGCCCAACAACTAAATTTGTAATTTGTTTTTCTCTAGTTTGAGCAGGGTCTGAATTTTTTCATTTATTTTCATTTTTGCCAGCAGACAGACTTGGGTCTGTAAAGACAAGCAAGTACACTGACAGAAGTTTACCATTTAGTTTCTTATATGTAAAAAAGAAAACCCACAAAAGACTCAACAAAATTAGACCACAAAATTTGCTTTGTTCATTGTAGCACTATTGGTAATAAAATAACAAATGTTTGTGCATTTTTATGTGAAGATCCTTCTCGTATTTCATTTGGAAAGATGAGCAAGGTCTGCTTCCTTCATTTTACTTCCCCTTCTGTTTTTGAAAGGCAGTTTCGCCAAGCTTAATGCAAGAATATCTGACTGTTTAAAAGAATGATATTGCCACAATCTCTGGATGGTCTCCAGGGTTGTGTTATTACTGAGCTTCATCTTTCCAGAATGAGCAAAACACTGTCCAGTCTTTGTTACGATTTTGTAATAAATGTGTACATTTTTTTTAAATTTTTGGACATCACATGAATAAAGGTATGTATGTACGAATGTGTATATATTATATATATGACATCTATTTTGGAAAATGTTTGCCCTGCTGTACCTCATTTTTAGGAGGTGTGCATGGATGCAATATATGAAAATGGGACATTCTGGAACTGCTGGTCAGGGGACTTTGTCGCCCTGTGCACTAAAGGGCCAGATTTTCAGCAGCCAAGGACATCCATACCCAAGTGAATGTGATGGGACTTAAAGAAGTGAACTGAGACAATTCACTCTGGCTGTTTGAACAGCAGCGTTTCATAGGAAGAGAAAAAAAGATCAATCTTGTATTTTCTGACCACATAAAGGCTTCTTCTCTTTGTAATAAAGTAGAAAAGCTCTCCTCACTGCAGTGTTGACTTTGATTTTAAATTGTGAAATTATTTCTTCAACATGAAAATTAGAGGGAAAACAAGTTTTGCAAATATCAAACTGAATGGTATGACTGAATTTAAAGTGTCTTTTGCAGCTTTCAACAAATAATTTAATAGAACCATAGCAAACCATTTTACTTGTAGATTAAAAATGTAGACAAAAAGATTAACTGGAGAAAACTTTTAAAAATGGATTATGGCAGCATCCGGAACACTCTCGGGGCCCAATGGGAACACTTTTTCTCTGAGGAATTTGATAGAGTTTTGAGATCTATCTTTATGAAGTAATGAACAAATTAAGGTAAGACAAAAAGCAAGATGGGGTAGATTTTTCCTTCAGTTTGCTGGCCTGGATATTTCATTTTTATGGGTTGATGAATTCTTTTCTCATATAAATAAAATACTGTATTTAAAAATGTCTAAAGACTGAAGCTACCAAAGCAGAACTAGAGTAGAAAAAAGCCAGTGAGTTTTAAATTTTTAAATTTTTCATTTTTAACCTATTTTTCTATAAGAGTGAACGTTTATTGACATTTACCAAATCATGTTTGAAAATTAAACATTTATGACATTGATGTGTTTGTGTATCAGGAATGAAAAATGACTTAAAATTTACCTTTTTCTATGTATTTTGAGATATTAGAAACTGACAAAAATATCAGGATTTTTTACTTTTCAGAATTAAACCAAAGCATCTCCTCAGTAGGAAAGATGGCAGTTAGGTTATCATAACTATTCTGCAAAAATAAAATAAAACCCTACCCTAGTTGACATAAACCAGAATCAAATGCTACAAAGCAGTTTCCTTAAAGATTACATCTTTTCATAATAATTTGTTTTGTAAAATGTACCTTTTACAACATAACCATAAAAAATAAATAGGAAGAAAAACACAGTTAATGGGAGGGGATCTTTATTCTGATGAATGAAAACATACATTAAAGTCTCAGCTGAAACATGATCATGATTGGGACTATATGACTCATAATGAAGACAGCTCATATCAAGTGATTTGTTGTGTTTTTCCTTTTTTAACTGCCGTAGACATTAAGTGTACACTTTCCAGTTTTCTAGGGTTTTTTTATATCCTGGATTATCAAAATTTTTATAACTTGTTGATATTAGAAGTTATCTATTGAGTTCAAATACACATTTAAAAATTATGCTTAAAATCTTTAAAATATTAAACTAATACAACACTCAATTCTTTGTACATGTACAGGATTTGACTTAAACTTATTAAATTTATGGTTTTTCTTAGGTTTAATTCTGTTCATATTCCCCTGTATAGCTAGTTGAATACATTTGTACACTGTTACATAAATTTTGAGATGAAACTATAATTGGCTTTCTGGAAACAAAAGCTCTATTTAGTTGTGAAAGGAAGTCCTTTAATCTATTTGGTATTTCTTGAAGTGGTACTATAATTTATATGGTTGAATTTCATTTGCTGGGGGTTTTCATTGCACAAATAGTTTTCCTCAGATAAAATGAGTTTTAATTAATAACAAAGTTTATTTAAGTTCTTACAGTATTTATAATAAAGCCAACCATTTAACTGGTCTTTTATTTTTTTGCACTGAAATCGGGACCCAGCAGGTGCTTGATTAATATTTGTTCACTGAGTGGTTTAATTTGATATTTCAATTTGAAAATAAAATGTACAAATTAAAACATTGGGCTTTGAAATAATTTACTTTTACTATAATTTCATTTTCGCAAGAATATTTTTAAGCATCAACTAATTTTCAAAATTTTTCAAATGTTCCTCTCTACACTAGAATCAATTCTTTCTCTGAATCCTCTTTCATTCACAAACCATATATCTTCCATTCTGTTTATATCCATTATCCATAATATATAAGGCATCTGAGCATGGCTCTGAATCACTTTATTTCATTTAACTTAGATTTGCATTAATAATAACATCAATTTTGCAAAACAGTTGCTGAAAACCTAAAAGTGTAGAAACAGATGTATTAAGTGTTTTTCTTAACCATGTTTTGTCTGTGTAGTTTATAAAGAAGAAGCAGAAATACATACTAACTAGGTTCTATTAGCAATCTCTGCAGGGTCAGGGTGTACTCAGTGGTAGAGCACTTGCCTACCATTCTTGAGTCCCTTGTGGTTCCATTCTTAGTGTTGGGGATTTAAAAAAAAAAAAAAAGTCTGTGGAGAATGAGATAAGCCAGATGTTTGTCAAAATGTCTTTACTTTCTAAAAGCTAGATCCCAATGACATGTCCCAACTTTTCTTGCCCACTGGCATTACCTGTGAATTAGATCATATCATGAAGAGAGGACACATCTGGGATATGAAGAGCATAAATGCATCAACAGTCAAAATTGGGATCTAAAGCTAACCCAAAAGCATGGTATATTACGTTTAATCAAATAGGGTACAGTGAATCAGAATAACGATATAGTTTTGCAGTTTGGATGTGAAAATAAGAATGGAGGGTGTTAGCTATAACATGGCTTAATGTAGATTAATATCAATTGTGATTCTATTACTAAAAATAATGAGTGTAATCTTCAGCTATATTAAGAAAAGTGCACTGCTGAAAACAACATGGGGATCCTGCTGTCTTAAAAATACACATCTGAAATGTCAGGTCAAGTATGAATGCTGTGTTTTAAGAGCTGTCACATCAGCCAAAGGGGAAGGAGTTGTGGCATGCTTTCTAGCTACCAAGCAATATACTGAATGTTTAATTATTGTGTCCTGTTCAAAGAATGGCTTGATAAGGTAGGTGGGTGTTAGTATCTCCATTTTACAAAATTTAAAGTGTTACCCACCAAAAAGGAATTAGGGATACTTGGCATTAGAGAATAAACTTTGGAGACCTAGTATTTGTCTTTTCAAGAACTGTCAGTGAAAGATATTAATTTGAGTGATGAAAGAGTAGAAAAAGGACCAATAAGAGATTTCGATGCAAATATTTAAAAGTAACATGTAATTTTATGGGGGGTAGGGGAGGTTGAACCCAGGGGGTCTCACACATGCTTGGTAAGCACTCTACTACTGAGCTGTATCCACAGCCCCATAATAAGATTTTGGAATTAGTTGCTGTGCAAGGCACCCGACTCAACTTTTATTATAAAACATAACCAAAGAGAGACTGGCTGAATAGTGTTCCTACCTAAGGTAAGAAGTTGAACTGAATGGTTTTGTTTCTGTAGTTAACTGAAAAAGTTAAGTGAGATAATTATTGTATTTCAGCAAACCTAATTGCCAACAATTTCAACAATTATCAATTTATGTTCCACTAAGGAAAAAAAGGTTGCTTAAACTATAATAAGCCACCAGTTTCAAAATATATTCCAGTTATTTTTTTTTAATGTTTCATGAGGAGAATGTGCATTTTAGTATTGAGATGTAGAGCATGAAGAAGAGACAAAGGGCAGCTAAGGGGGATACATGATAGCTGTCTGATAATATATGAAGAACTTATTAAGGAGAGAAGCATGTCTTAAAACCAAAAAGTGGAACTTCAGAGATTACTGTTCTATATTAAGGTGCTGTCCCACTGCACTACCTGCTTCATGAAGTAAGGATTCTGTCAGTAACACTGTTTCAGCAGAAACTGGGAAACTCAGAATTGTTACTGACATGACTGTTGTTTAGTAAAAGTTGGATTTGATAAATTCAGCTCTTTTCAGCTCTTGACAGGTTGATACTCTTGATCTGAAGCTGGGGACTAATGTCAGGGCAAAAAAGTTTACACTTAATTTTGGCAGTTCTGGGGATTGAATTTAGGAGCATTCTACCACTGAACTACATTCCCCATCCCTTTTTATTTTATTTTGAGGCAGGGTTTCACTAAGTTGCCCAGGCTGACCAACTGGTGATACTCCTCTGTCTCAGCCTCCCAAGTAGCTGGGATTCCAAATGTGTACCACTGCACCTGTTTAAAAGTGTATACCTAAAGCACATTTTTTTTTTCTGTGAGTCATGGGTATGATTTACTTAAAATCACTGCCTTATATTTGGAAAGAAATTTAAAAATTAAAAAGCAACTTTTAGTCAATTTTAATTTTTCCCCCATTTTTGATATTAGGAACAGGAATACGAAAAACTAAAATATGTGAATATGTTCACCAGTTTTGTTCAGTTGCATATTTTAGTTCTGTATTCAAAGGAAGCAACAGTTTTTGTTAAATTTTAAGGTAAATGTTTAGCCTGAAATGTTCAGTGTATTAGTGTGCAACTTGCTGTTTTCTGCTGTGACAGTGATCATATAAATTGGATTGAGCAATGTTTGTATTACTTTTAAAATTTGATCATAAAATGTGGCTTATAAAAGGCTCAATTTGGACTGCAATCACTATAGGAATTCAATCAAAAGTATCTTCTAATTAGAGAATCACCTAGGGAATTACATTTGTTTTGTTTTACTTGTTTCTTTTTTTTTTCTAGGGCTAAGGACTAAATTGAGTCTTTGCACATGCTAGGCCAGCATCTTGCCACTGAGCTAAATCCGTAACCCCACTGGGGAATATATAAATGTCCTTTTTAGTACCCAGCTTCAAACACTGATTTTCAAATGTCTAGAAAGAGGCCAAAGACATGTAGGCTAGCAAATATCACAGATCATTTCTGAAGTTACTGAGCTATCAATCACAATTAGAATTCACTCTGTCTACTATAAAAGTACTAACTAGAATAAAAGCTTAAAAGATTTTGGTGAAATCTCACCAAGTTAACGTGGGATAATTCCTGTGTTCATTTGCTTTTTTCCTAAAATATCTAGTGTTCTAACAGACCATGTTATTACAGTAGTATTTATTAGTAGAGCAAGAGGAAAGCTAGATCCATTCTAAAACAACAAGTGTTTTACCTCAGCTATATTTCTGGGAATATTGTTACCATATCTAAGATATCCACTTAGGTTTGTATGCATAGAAATTGCTAATGGCAACTGCATGCAGTATCAATATACTCGTTAATTGAATTTGTCCAGTTGTGAACATACTGTGACTTGACAATATTTTAATGCTTAAAAACTCTATTCATAGGGCTCAGAGCTCTGTAAAAAGCTTATCATTTCCATGTCTTATCAATTTTCTGTCCATTTAAATGGCTTTTTGAAAATGTCGTAAAACTCAAAATGGTCAGAATTGTCATAATTTCCTATACTGAAAACCTAAATTATTACATAAGTAATATATGGTCACAAGTTGACACACTAAAGTACTTTTAGCTAACTTATGTTTTATATAGTAAAACCAACTTTTCATTCCTCATAAGATTTATCTTATTAAATCCTAGAATGTTCAAACTGTGTTCTAATCTATTTCTAAGGCCTGATTTGCACCTGCATTACACAAATGTTTTGACATATTGCTAGGTGAAATGAGTCTGACTTTATCCCTGAAGTGTTAATTCCTTTAAACTACATTTGAGGGTACTAGCTGAGGAAAACAAATTGAATTCTTCAGGATGAATTACAGCAGATCTTAATTTGCATAAGCATTTCTTTAAATGTAATGCTTTGGTAATTTGCATTGGAGGCCTAAGTGACATTTTGACCTCATTATTTAATTACAGTAAAGTTCTGTTTTCTTTCAGGCTAATCTATTCTCTAGTGCATGCTTAAGATAATTTTTATAACAGCACTTAAGAGTTCTTCAAACATTTTTGGAAGAAGTGCCTCAAATTTCAAGGGTGATATACTGATCATAAATGACTGCATCTGCTTGATTCTTTTTTAGACTCAGGTCTCAGTACTCATAAACTTATAATAGAAACTTTTAAACATTTTTCAAAATTTATATATTTCAATAAGAAAACATTACATGAGGGAATGACATAAATAGTTCCAGCTTCTTGTGTATAAAAATAAAGATTTGGGGCAGCCAGAATGTTTCAAAGCTACCTTTAAATCTGTTACATACTGAACATTTATTTTAAGATGTAGTTTTAATTACCATATGTAACAGTGCATGAAAAATGGGCTGCCTTTGAGTCGTTAGATATTTCCCCTCTTAAGATTTATTTTGAATGTTTTAAGTAACTGTCTTCAAATCATTAGTATTCGTCAAGTATAAAGTAAGTTATCTATTACATAAAACTTACACCTCAATTTTTCAAAGTGAAAGTTATATTACTCTACTGAGAAAAACTATTTCTAGATTTCCCTTTTTTATCAAAAGTTTTCCATTTTTTCCAGTGCATTCTAAATAATGTAGATCTAACATTTGAATATTAACATAGTTGACTTGCAAAACTATTTGGAATACAAATTCTTGATAACAGAGATAAGTCAAAATCATTTCTCTGGCTTCTCTCTACATTTGCAGTGACATTGATGGTGAATCTCAAAACCATTGTCCTAGAAGTGATGGTAAGTCAGGTAAGGAAAAAAAAAAGTGCAGACTTTCATTTCAGTGTTAAAAAGGGTGTCATTTACAACTCTGAATTGTCCATTTCCTTAGCATTTGGGGAGTAAGGATTAGTTTCCTAAACCCTCTGGAGAAAATACTGCAAAAACAAGATTAGCATAAGAAACAAGGCCTAAGAGGCACATAATCACTATCTGAAATGGAGTCATTTATAAAGCTTTATCCTATAAAACACCAGAGGGCAGAACTAGGTACCATACATGGACGTTATGGCAAGGCAGATCTAAAATATACAATAAGAAAGAACCTAATATTTTTTTAAAGTTCCCAAAAAAGGTAGCATTAAAAGTTCACGGTTTTGGAAGTATCCAAGCAAAGGCAAGAAACACTTTTATAACTATTAGGTGATTTCCTGCATTAAAAGGATAGGATATCCTTCTACCCTAAAATCATTTAATGACTTGTTTTATTAACATCTAGTTTTTCCTTGTGTATATCTTCAAATTTTAGCTTGAATTTCTTAAGCCACTAGAAACCTAAATACATCTCTGTCCCACATAAAACAGTACTACTTACTTGCTTTGCATCTGAAAAAGCTATTTTCAACATAAATGTGATTGAGTAAAATTAAATGGGGACTAATTAGGTCCATCATTCTCTATCTACTGTTCCCTTCAGAGGTTTCACAGTAGGACTTTTGATCAACCCTAACTATCCTTGAATGTAAGTGTATACATACACTTGAAATATATTTGGAAATGTTTCTTTCATTACCAAATACAGAAATTTCTTTTGGGTAGCACAGCATAGTAGGAAAAGAATGTGTCTCAATCTACTGCCCTGTCAATATGTGTGCAGCCTTAGCCTTGAAAGAGTTAATCTTTTGAGTTTTGTTCCTCATAAAACATTAAGGCATTTGTGAATAACTTAGTTTATGTCAGTTATTCAATAGATGTTGGCCAATTTCTCCAAGACACTGATATTTATGGTGGGGAAGATGATCTCCACTTATCTTGGGATATTTTAATTTGGCTAGGTGCTGTTTGTTACATAGCAATTCTTAAGTTTTTAAGACCATGGCAAGAACAAAATAAACCTAGAATTAAATCCTAGAATGTTCAAACTGTGTTTTAATCCAACCTTTTCACTTCAAGAAGAGGAAACATCAATTATTTACCTTGCCTCAAATGAATTACTATTCAAGTTGTGAGCCAAACCTTTCCATGTCTAGCCAGTTCCAAAGCTGATTGCACATAAACATTCACTTCAATTATCACAAAAGACCAACAGTGAGAATTTAGCACTACCAGTGTGATAMTACAAACTTAAGTATCTGTTTTTTGCTTTACTCAGTTGCAAACAAAGACTGAGTGCAAACAAATCTGAACTTGTAAAAATATACCAAATTCTATTTCAAACAAAATGCAAAGACTTAAGGAGCTTCCTGGCTTATTTTCAATAAGGTGATATTTAAGATCCTTTCCTGTTCTAATATGCTCTCATTGTAAATATCTAGAAATAGTAATGTTCTCAGTATAATCATATTCTCAATATAATAGGAAAAGTTTAGGGCCAGTAAAAGATACAGGTAGAAAAAAGCAGTGGCCACAGAAGAAATTTATTCCGAATCCTAAATTCTGTGGCTAATTACAAATATTTATGGAAAGAAAGTTAATTTCTTGATAATAGCAAGTTGGAAATCAGTACAATGGTGAACATTTTAAAGTTAAAATCAAACAAAAAATAATTTTCTATAATTACATCTACTGGATCAGAAAGAAAAATTTTCCTAGATGGTTTTCTTTTGGATCACTCTACTTTCATTATGTTTATTTTTACCTAATTATTCCAGGTGCAAAGGTCTAAAATCTATCTAGAATATGAATTTTAATGAAAAACAGGTGATGGTAAAATACTCATCTCCTTGCCAGTGTATTTTAGCAATTCAAGTGTTTAGTAGCAGTGTGTCATCCAAAAACTTCACAATTTGCCAGTTTTTGAAAGTGTATTTTCTTAACATGTTAAATTCCCTTCCATTCCTAGCATACAAAATCCTTCCTTATGCCGATTCTTTTTTAAAATATGTTTAGTTGTTGACAGACCTTTATTTATGTATTTATATGCAGTGCTGAGAATTGAACCCAGTGCCTCACACATGCTAGGCAAGTGCTTTGCCACTGAGCTACAACTCCCAGCCTCTTATGCTGATTCTTTTTAGAATTTAATAAAAGGTTATATATTAAGTACAAGATTGAATTCTTTAACTTAAGTCATGGAACTTTTAAAAGAATATTGATCATGAGAACAAACATAAAATAACAATGACTAATATCCTTGTTTAGATAAGTTTTATTTTCCTTTAAAGTTTAAGATTGTCCATGATTCCCCTGGGGGGGGGGGCACACTAGCTGCAGACAATGACACACATTAAATAAGTGGATCTGGTCCTGAGTATTACATTTCTTATCTTAGTTTCCATAGGCGGAACACTATGCAGAGAAGACTAGCTTTCCTGTGCTGCCTCTCCTCTGCAAGAACAGAAGATGCTAAAAGACCTCAGAACTTCTGAGGTTCTGACAATTCTTAACTACCATTCTGATGACCTGTTTTCTGAAACTGAACAGAAGATATATCCAATCTTCCCAGGGAATGCTAATGTAGTTTTACCTCAAGAAAAGGAAATAATAGCAAACATTTGAAGTATTTCCTTTAGGATAAAAATATAAATTGATCTGTGAAGTCTTCTGATATCTTTGGACTCTCAGAAAGACATGAAGATAAAGGAAGACAAGCAAGCTAATTCAATATGAAACAAAATTAAATATTTAAATAACAGAAGACTGGATGGCAACAGTTTCTTCAATTATTTTGAGAATGTAAGCAAAGAAACTGACTAAATGGAAAACTAAATGGATTTAAAAAGATGTAAAGAATTTAAGTTAAGTTCTGGGGTTATGGCTCAGCAGAAGAATGCTCGCCTAGCATGTGTAAGGCCCTGAGTTCAATCCTCAGCACCACATAAAAATAAATAAAATAAAGGTATTGTGTCCAACTGCAAATAAAAAATAAAATATTTTTTAAAAACTAAAATAATTAAATGAAAGTAATGTGTTCAACTACAACTAATATATATATATATATATATATATAAATAAAATTTAGGTTAAGACAAAAATTTATTATATTGTTCCATATACTTAGAAGACCATCTTCAGTTCTGAGGGAGAGGTTTCATTCATAGAACACTTTAAGCTCTGGATTCAGTGAAAATTGAATCATATTCATGATTATTATTGGCCCCTCCCATTCTGGTGGTTTTTTATAAACATTATTATGAATCAATTTTGCCTCAAGATTCAATCCCTCAGCATAATTGCTCTTTGCTGTCACAGGTCTATATAGGGGAGGCTGCAGCTTTCTTGAAAAGATTACAATAATCTGCAAAGGAAGAAGATTCAGAGTGAAGATTTGTGAGATCAGGTCAAGTTGTTTCAACCATTAGACTAACTTTTCCTTTCAGTTAATATAGTTCTCACAATCGTCTTTATGCCAACAGAAAAGGAATAGTATAATTCCCAGATAAAAGATGAAAAATAAAAAAATCTCTCCAAAAACTTGAATGATATATTAAAGAACATAGCCTTTTCTGGATACGTAAGGTTTCCAAACCCTGCATTTTCTTTATTTTGAAAAACACATAGCATACCCGCCTTCCTTGCCCATTGCTTAGAAATACTTGTTACCTATCACATAAAGGAATGTTGTACTTCAGAAAAACGTATCAGAACTGCAGTCAAAAGTAGAATTTTAAATCCATTAAAGAGTTCTTTGATTCCGTGTTTGATATTCACCAGGAACACAATTCAGTTTGATTAAGACTTTATTCGTTTGGGACTTGCAAACTAAGAAAAAGATGTATATTATGAAAACTGAATATTTCAATTTTATTCTTCAAAAAGAAGCCGTTCGAAATAGTTCTCAAGTTTGATTTTATGATAGAAATGCGGTTTGGAAAGATAGTTTACAAAATAAAATAAAGGTCACGAAAAGAATAGAAGCTGAAGGATGGAGGGAGCGGGAAGAACTAAGAGAGCCGACAGCTCTAGAAACGGTACCTGTCCCAAAGTGGGTCTGCACGCCGCTCTCGCCTTACACAGCGCTCCTGGTAATCTCATCTACAAATCCCGGGGTGGGCCCCAGGTGCAAGACTCCTAAGGAGGGAAACCACATAAAGGATTCTGTTCTCCGGATGGGAAAAGTGGTCTCYATAGGCTGCAAGCCTCTCCACCTGTTTCCTTTGGTTCCTTCTCAGTCAACTCCAGCTATGGTCCACTCGGCTGCCCAAGACCTAAGTTTGCCGCGAGGTCCACTGCCGACCTAGGCAGCAAGTTTCCTGATGTTGCCAGTCGAGGAATCCTGCCCGCACGCGCTTTGCCTCTACAGCAGACTCCGCCCTACTCAGCCTATCTTGCTCGGATCCTGCCATGCTCTGGGCCCGGCTGGGGCCGCAGAACGCGGCCCTTGTTAAGGCGGTTAGGAGGGAGGGCGGGCGTCSGCGGCAGGACCGTTAGTGCGCTCGCCCCTGCGGCGTGGGAGCGGCTGGGTCACACCTCCCATAGCGGCGCGCGGCGTGGATACCTGCGGGGGCCTCCCGGGGCGTACCCCAACTCACGCCGGTCGCCGGTGGGCTTTCGTCTCCGTCCACTCGGCTTGGCCGCGCGGCTGTCCTCCCTCCCACATCGCCTCCCATGGGCCTCCCCAGAGCACCGCTACTTGGCAGCTGGCTCACTCTCCCGGCAAACTGACCAATCCTTTTTGGAGTTCAAGATTCCCGCCGCTCCACTTGCACTACGTCAGTCCCCTCTTTTCTTTTCTTTTCTTTTTTTTTTTTTTTCCCCCTTTAACTTTCACCTGGGTTAGGCTACTGAACCTAAGCTTTCATCTAGGATGTCTCTCCCAGGGGATTTGGAGAGGATTCGGAAAGCAAGTAGCCGCTGTCCCGGGTGTACGCCTACAGGCGACGCCCCGGGCGGGGCGGGGCGGAGCAGGAGGGCCTGGGTCGGCGGCGGGCGGGGCGGAGCAGCTCCCTTACCGGGGAGCCCCCGGGCTCGTCCCAGCCCGGCTGCTCCTACCCTAGTACAGCTGCCAGCGAGTCCGCGGAAAAGCGGCCGGCGGGCGATGGAGACTGGGAGACACACGGCGAGAGGAGGCGGGGTTGGGGAGGCGCGGAGAGCGCGGGGGCGGAGGCTGGCAGGGGGCGCTGGAGGCTGGAGCGGTCCGTGCGCTCCCTGCGCCCGAGGGTACTGGAGGCTCTGAAGCCGCTGCCGCACCGGGGCCGGGCGGCGGCTGGGCCGGGGCGGGGGGCGCTGCCGCCGCCGGGGGCGTCGCCGGCCTCGGCCCCTTTGTTCTCGCGCGCTCCCCCTCGCCGCCCACTCCCCTGCTGTCGCGCGGCGGCGGCGGTGGTGGTGGCGGCGGCGGCTCCTCCCGCCCGAGGCAGTCGGGCTCGGCGCCGGGGGCGGGAGGGGGCGGGGGGAGCGCGCCAGCCGCCGAGAGTGGGGGGCGATGGCGAAGCTCCGGGTGGCTTACGAGTACACGGAAGCCGAGGACAAGAGCATCCGGCTCGGCTTGTTTCTCATTATCTCCGGCGTCGTGTCGCTCTTCATCTTTGGCTTCTGCTGGCTCAGTCCCGCGCTGCAGGATCTGCAAGCCACGGCCGCCAACTGCACGGTGCTGTCGGTGCAGCAGATCAGCGAGGTGTTCGAGTGCACCTTCACCTGTGGCGCCGACTGCAGGGGCACCTCGCAATACCCCTGCGTCCAGGTCTACGTGAACAACTCGGAATCCAACTCCAGGGCGCTACTGCACAGCGACGAGCATCAGCTCCTTACCAACCCCAAGGTAAGGACGTCCGCCYCTGGTGCCCAGGGGCTCCAGCGAAGAATGCCTTGCTCCTGCGGAGCCCTGGAGATTTGGAGACAGCATAGGGTTAGACCCGTGCGGAATAGTTCGGAATGGGTTCCGGTTGCTAGGAGGGGACAGGCATCGAAAGCTGTACTCAAACCCAGAGTGAGTTCATCAGGGAGCCCCAGGTATCCGGTCCTTAGGGTGGGTTTGTGCAAGTGAAAATCAGTCGTGCCCCCCAAAAATCTCTTTACACACCTATCTTGTCTGGCCTCAGATTTTGAGGCCCAGACTCAGCCGGGTCTGGCGCTTACAGGACGGGATTTGGAGAAATGCAAGCAGTARAGAAAGTTAACTTTTCCTTCCGTGAAAGCCCGTGGGTAGCGAGGATCCACCTACTCCCGCACACGGTCAGCGACGGTCTGAGCTGCAGCAAAAACTTAGATGTAATGACTTTTGTTAGGAAGTCGAGGGGAGGGGTCTCTTAGCCCCTCGAAAGATGCTAAGAGAGATCCTTTCTTTTACCACTAAACAGACCTTTTAAACCTGGGGTCTAAAGATAAACGTGAAATTCTACCTAGGTCCATTTTGGAGGGTCCTGTGGGATGCTAGTGACTCTGTGTATCTAGAGACAATCAGGAGCGGTCTGTAGAACAGTACAACTTACTGAAAATAGAAAACCCTCAGTGAAATATACCAAACAGTCCTTTCCTGACAACTTTCGATGTCACAGGCATAAAAGAAAAAAAGAAAAGAAAATCTGGTTAGGACTATCTCGGGCTGGAGAGCTGAGGAGACTCAGAAAACTGTTCCCAGTGGAGAAAAATACTTATAAAAAGCAGTGAACTAATTGAGTTTCCTAGTGCATCTGCTTCTGCAGGAAGGGTTTTGTTTCTTCCTTTGGTCTTTCCTACTACCTTTGTTGCTTAACTATCAAAGTAAAGGTGTGTGTGTGTTTTTAAAAGTTACTGACACTTTTTCTCTTTGTGAGGGCCCTGCCTGAACACCAAGCAGGAAAGCAGTCCAAAAGAAAATGAACTATGTGTTCACAGGATAACTTTGTATTAAATGTGGCAAATTGCATTTATATTTGTCTCCCAAAAAATTCTGAATTAATATTTTAAAGTATTTAAAACAAACTTACTATTGCTGTGTAGTAAAATTCATGATCTTTTCTTCAAAACAGGAAATCCTTGAATATGAGAAAAGAAAAATAATTAAATTTTAGAAGTAAGACTCTTCTTAGAAAAATGCTCATGCTAACAAATTAATATTCATTTGCCTTAAAATGAAGATAATACAAAGAAATTAATAAATATAGGAGTAAGAACATAGAATGCAGAATTTAGAATATGATGTTCAAGCTCATGAAGAAGTGATAATTTCTCAAAGACATGTTATAAATTAGTCTGCTTAATGCTTAGTTATGTTTAAAAAGAAATATCAGGGTTTTAAAAACTATTTTTTCATTAGCAAACTAGTAATATAAAAAAGGGTGCCAAGAAGTAGTAATGATTTAGAAATTATATGATAGTTTATCATTTAGTTTTTACAGTTCGTAAAACATTGCTAATTACTTGAAGACTGTGGTTTAGTCACTAATGAATTAATTATATGTATGTACATGTATGTGTATATACATGTATGCATATCTATATCTATCTATCTATCTATCTATCTATCTATCTATATTAGTAAATGATTAGTATCTAACCACGACATTGACAAATTAGAATTTGCTACAGGAAGGCTGCTTCACAATTTCCAGGCAATTATTCAGGATCTGGCAGAAAAGGTAAATTGAAATCATTAGGACACTGATTTTTAAATCACTGGAAAACAATCACAATTGCCTTATGTAATACCAAGATATTTCTCTCTGTGTCTGTTTCTCTTTCCCTTCCCCACTCTCTCTCAAATAATCTGGTATTTTTCCAGTATCAGTTCAGAACTCAGCAATAGTTATTTTAAAGAAGTACCTGAACAAAATCACATCTTATGAAGGGAAGTATTCAGGAAATGAAAGAACAGAAAGATGATATATTTATGTTACAAAAAGTGAACAACATCTCTATCAACTTAGGCCAGGTTTCCTCAGTCAAACCAATATTTCTCTCTTTATCCAGATGACAGGGTGTTGTGGCACATATAGGACATAAATTTGCTTTTCAACATCACCTTTTTATTTTTGATCAATTAAATACTCAATTTGGAAATTTTGGTAAGCAATTTGTGTTGAGAAAATTCAGTGCAACTACACTATTGTGGCAGAGTCAAGTACATGAGYGGATTGTTTACCCAGTGTCCTTGCAATTAGATAGTGTCCCCTGCCCATGCAGTTGCACCTTGGCCCCCTAGACCTTTTCTTGCCTTCCCTTACTTACCTCTTTAATGGAGGTTTAATTTTCCCACCCATTCCTTTCATTCCATGGATCCCAGCCACCTTCCACCTTCTCTTCACATCCCACCACCACAGGAAACCACTTAGGAAATCACTTAGAAAAATAGAACAAGCACTTTTTCTTCTCGCTTGAATTTGCTGCATTAATCACAATAAAAGACAGGACAGGGAAAAAATTTTACAAATGTATAACTTCGTAAGCCATAGTGAAATCTAAATTTGGGGTTCACTTTCTCTTACTACTCTTCCCCATCCCTCCCCTGTCCCTGTCACACCACTGTCTCTTTGTAACTCAGCGGTTAAGTGTGCCAAGAGCTTTGGTTCTCAACTATGGTTGCACAGTGGAATTATCTGGGAACTTTAAAAAGAAATTCTTATGCTCGGGTCCAAGGCTCAGAGATTTCAACCTTCAAAGATGTCTTGGGTGTGGCCTGGGTATTGGTATTTTTATTCAGAGTTCTTCTCGTGATTCTAATAGGAAGATAAGAAATGAAAACCACTGTTTTGGACAGTGACCTCATCTATTGTTTAAGAAAAACAACATTAGAAGCAAAAGGACTCATGTAATTGATATTTGTGTTTTCGGGATAAAAGATCTTGTTGACACTACTGAAGACAGGAGGTTGGTATAAAAAGAGAAACCCAAGGAAATTCTTAAGGCAAGGAAGAGAATAATTTAAAATTAGGTAGAAATGATCATTTAAAATTAGTTTAAGTGAAATGAACTCATGCAATTCCAGACGTTTGGATTTGCATCAATATATACATTGGATGGCAAAGAAAAGATGAATTTTTTAACCTCATTCTTTTTTTTTTCTTTTTTCTTTTTTTGTGGTGCTGGGTGCCATATTCTTATATGTGGTGCTATATTCTTATATGAGGGATAAGAGAGAGCTGGTGATTAGAAACCACATGTTTAATTTTGTTTTGATTTTTTTTTCTTCCACTGATGATAAAAACCTAGAAACAAAGGATAAGTCTGTTTCTAAGAAACTGGTACTCTACAAGTGACAGAAATACACTGGAGAGGAAAACTTAGGTGGGAATGAAAAAGGCTTTGGCCTTTAAGTACCATCCCCTGGTGCTGTAGGTACCAGCTACATAAGCTGTAAGTACTGTGGCTTCTATGGCTTCTTGGAATTCTTCAGGTCCACATTGGTGCACCCATCCCCAGCTTACAATTAGACAGTGTGGCCTGCTGGAGTTCATTTGTGGACTCCTTTTTTTGTAACATGTTTAATTTGTTACATTTTGTGCTCTACAGAGTCCATCTCTCCTCTCAAAACTACTTAGTAAAAGGCTCTGCTGGGTTGTGACTTCTCTGTATTAATAATACAGTCTTTATTTCTGCATTAAGAAGTGGCTTTCCTGGTTTTTTTTCTTCTAGTGAGTATATTAAATAATATTTGGTGTACACTTAAAATTCAATTAGTCAAATAATTTTTCTTTATCTATTATGATCAAAGAACCAAAAAAGAAACCAGAGGTCATACAAAAATGAGTATTTAACAAAATAGTGTCTACTCTGTGACATGTGTGCTTCCAGGATCTGAGTCTAGAACAGATTGAAGTGAAGTCAGTGGCCTCGTGGAACTTACATTTTGGTGCAGGGTAACAGACAAGAAGTTAATTTATAATGTTATGAAATGATAGATGGGTAAAGAAAATTCAGGCAGGGTAAGGGAATAGACAGTGATGGGAGAAGCAAAGGGCTGCTCTCTGGGGACAGGATGCTCCAAGACCACACCAGCCTGATGATATCTGCACAGACACCCAGAGAAGGTGAGGCATATGAAGAATCTGAAAGGAGATAAAGCATCAAATCTCATGGCTATCTGGGAAAAGAGCATTCCACAGGCTGAGCAAACAGTAAGTGCAAAGGCCTTGAGACAAGTGGCTGCCAGGTCTGGGTGAGAAACTGAGGACAGCGCTGAGGTTGGATCGCAGTGAGCAGGGCAAAGAACAGAGGCAGATGATTAAGGTCCCCAGAACAAGACAACTTTGGGTTTTATTCTAAATTTGACAGTGAGCACCTGACCTTGAGCAGGGCTGAGATCAGACTCAGACTTTGTAAAGATGTAAATGACTCCTTTGGTTGATGAGTTAAAAATGCAAAGTATGTGCACACAGGCTCACTGTGAAGAGCCAGAGGGACAAAGGCAAGTTCAGAAACAGGGTTCAACAGAACAGACAAAAGATGGTGGTGGCTTAGATCCATGGATAACTTTGGTAAAATTCACCGATAGGTTGAATATGAGAACTGAGGGAAAGAGAAGTCAAGTATGACTCCAAAATTTGTGGCAAGCACAGCTGGGTGAATGTTAGTTGGCGGAAAACTAGAGGAGAAGTGGGTTTGGAGGAGTGTCGGTGAGAATCAAGGTTTCTGTTTCACATCTGCCCACCGGATGTACACATGAGGAAGCCCTTCAAGGAGATTATCACCTAGCAGAGGAGATAAGAACATAGGTAACTATCAGGAGGCAGAGTGTCCAGTTCCACAGGGAGGCCCCAGCAATATGGTATGATCATTGAGAAGGGAAAGGAGAAAACTTCAAAAAGAAACATTTTCATGAGTCTTGCTGAGGAAATTTTTATG